GTCTTCTTGAGAGCCATAATAGCAGTCTCAGTCGATAATCCTGGCTGAAAACCAAATTGCGCATCGTGACACTTAAAATATTTGCATATTCGCCTCTCAAGAATACCGTCAAGCACCTTCGCAGCAATCGTAGCCAATGAAATGGGTCTATAGTTGTCCTTGTTAGATAGATCACCATTTTTATTTTTTACAATGGGTACAACTATAGTCCTCATTAATGCACTCGGAAGATAAGAGTGTTGTACACATAAATTATACAATATAGTCAATACCCTAAGGAGTTGCGGACCTGCACACTGGAAGTGTTCTATACTGAGCGAATCGTGACCCGGGGATTTACCCCTCGTCATAGAATTAATAACGTCTTTTATCTCTTCCGTAGAAAAATGTACTGGTACCCCCGACTTAGCACTTCCAGGACAATCCGATCGCACTCGGGATTGTAGAACTGGATCAATTTTAAAGTGGTTTTTGAACAAATCCGCAATGTCCTTTGGGTCACTCAAGCTATTGACGCTCACAGGAACGGAAGGTTTAGGGCTAAGTTTTTTAGCTAAGTTCCAGAACTTTATAAAATTCTTGCCCTTATGCTCTGCACTCAAAATATTTAACTTTATTTGTTCTGCATTATTTTGGCAATATTTTAATTTTTGCTTAAAGAATTTACTCTTTTGTCTCATATTTACAAACAGAGGCCCGTATCGGGGTTGTCCATAAAACTTCCAATTTATAAAAGCCTGTCTCGCCTCTCTATGAGCATCCCTAACATACCTATTCCAGCCAGGCACACCACGCTTTCTCCGTGTGCCCTTTCCCGGTTTGCCACTACAAATAGCCGCTTTTCTAATTACTGAAATAATATTACTATAGAGAATGTCAATTGCCTGCCTATGTTCTTCATTGCAACATATGCTGTTACCACAATGACTGACCTCGAAAGGAACATTTATAACACTCAAACTTTCTGTACACAACTGGTAATAATGATCCATCTGCTCCACTGTTCTCGTGCCCCATATAACTGGATCTCTTAGCCATTCTTGGTATCTTACTATGGTATTCGTAGTCATTACACCCAGGTTAATATGCATTACAAGCGGAAAGTGATCAGACCAATACACATCGTCATAAACCTCGACATCACACACGGTTCCTAACGCTGCTTTAGTCACAATAAAATGGTCCAACCAGCGTTTACCTCCACATACATCACTAATAAACGTAAACGTACCCGAGCACCTGCCCAACTTAATATAGTCAGCACAACTCCAATGTTGTTCATTACAAAAATTTAATAATTCTGTTTCGAACAATTCACCAGGATGCGCATTAAAATCTCCCATGATATATACATTTTCAGTACCTGAACTCTCAACAATAGCTACTATTTCACTCAATATATTACAAAATTCAATAAAATTATCAGGAGAATTCGTTGGCATATATATACTGAAAAACAACATAGTGCGATCACTGAATGTAGCTTTAACGGCAACGATACGGTCACTTAAACATGGAATAACAGAGACAGACGTAAATACAGATTTTCTCCACAGGAGTGCTACTCCACCAAAGGGTCTTCCTCTTAATATCCCCATCGACATGTCAACGGCAGATTTACCAAAATAACCAAAATAATTATCTACGGTACCCAGTACCGCCAGCTCATGTGGCAACAGCCATGTCTCCTGAAGGGCAATAATGTCAACATTCTTACATAAGTTTTGTATACATTGAATCGACCTCTTTAGTGACTTACAGTTATAACTTACACATTTAGCAATATAATTATCATAATTTTGTGTATTTATATCCATTATTAAATATCAAAACAAAAATCTATATACATACAATAAATTAAGTAATAAATATATTATATACTCGACTATAGGTACTACCCCTCCTGCTTATTAACCTTACTTTTATAGGTAACAAATCTACGGAAAGCAATTCCGTCAGGCCATAAGTTCTCATTCATAAATACATTTAGTTTACTCTTAGGTAATGTTGCTATTTTAAATTTACTTCAAACTAGCTTTACTCGCTACTTCGTCCGCGTGGAATTTAACTTTATTTTTCTAAAATAAAAGTAGCCTAAGTTACTCCTTATTACATCCAGCAAAATGTCCCGTCAATCGGTCCAGCCATTTCATAGATTAGCCGGAACAAACAGAGACAGACAAAAATTGTTAAAAATGTTATTTTGGTGTATGTACCGTATTTATATTCATATGCATGTAGTAAAAAACGGTTATATCAATATTACAAACAGACACTCCAATTTTATTTATATCATCATTGCCTTGCCTTTATCCCATTATTTGTGGTCGGCGCAGTATGTCATTCTCTTCCACTGCTCTCTATCAGTCGTCATATCTAAACATACTCTTCTTTTATTCATATCATCTTTCACACAATCCATCCATCTTTTCTTAGGGCGTCCCCTCCCTTTACATCCATCCACATTCATATTATACACTTTCCATAAGACATGGTCCTCATTCATTTTATTTATATGTATAGATATAATTGTTTATATCGGTCTGGGTGTTATCTATATATACAGACATGTTTAGTATGTTCAATACATATATATTTTTTTGAAAATACAAAAATATGTATTATTTATCTGAGCCACTGGATATCGCTGCACTGCTGCGGACCCAGTGCTTCTGGACGTGGAAATAGGCATAAATATATGAATTATAAACATATTTTACAAGTCGTTTACTAACATAATATAGATATGTACATATCTGAAATAAATAAAATATGTACATGGCCGATAATGTATAGAATGGTAACTGTGAAATGATTAAATGAAAAACTAACTATTAATTTAAATTTATTTCAAACTAGAAACACACACAACTACTTTTATTTTAAAAAAAATCTTTTATTATAGAATAACAAACTTAAATTCCACGCGGAGGAAGTCGCGGGTACAGGTAGTGAATACTAATTTGCGCCGTGCGAGGAATAGAATCCGCGACCATCACCAAAGCGTTGTGTTTAACCGCTACACTATTGAGATCGTCAAACTGTTTCAAATGATAATTGTTACAAACATTACATAATAAAGTCTCAGATGATACGTGACTTTTGGGCAACAGACGTAATGTTACACATCGCTGGAGTATCTGTACGTCAGAACTAAGTCTACTCTGTACGTACGCATAACCATGCTATAAAATTGTGCATAACTGCTCGTTTAACTATTGTATGCAAAGATTATATTATATGGACTTTCATTAATATGGTTTTGTCAATGAACACACGTCATGGCACGACATGGTGCCCTTAAAATGGTTTAGTATATGTGTAGTTTGCATAAACATATATATATATATAACTAGCTTTTGCCCACGGCTTCGCTTGCGTTAATTTATCCTCTTAGGGTTGGAATTTATAAAAATACTTTCTTAGGGGATGTCTACGTTATAGTAGCTTTATGCATGCAAAGTCTCAGCCCCATCGGTTTAAAATTGACAAAGTTTAATCCCCTATTTTATACCCTTGGGGGCAGAATTAATCAAAATCCTTTCTTAGCGGATGCCTACGTCATAACATCTATCTGCATGCCAAATTTCAGCCCGATCGGTCCAGTGGTTTGGGCTGTGCGTTGATAGATCACTGTGTCAGTCACCTTTGAGTTATATATATTTAGAAGATATACTAGCTGTCCCGGCAAACGTTGTTTTGCGATATAAATTAATAACGCTATAACAAATAGGGGTTGGTGATAGAAGGGTGAAAATTTAGGGTTGTATGTATTTTTAAATGACACATAATAAAAAAATATTGCCCAAAAAATAAAAAAATTATGTCAGGGGTGGACAACCCTTATCACTTAGGGGTATGAAAAATATATAGTAGCCGATTCTCAGACCTACTGAATATGCATATACAATTTCATAAAGGTCAAGCCGTTTCAGAGGAGTATGGTGTCTTATATATATAAATTGTTAGGGTTCACATTGAGTATTAGAAATGAGTTTATTATTAAACAATGTGGTTTATTTGACTAAGATGGCAAAATTATACAAATAAATTAAAATAATTGGGACTGCGGGGAAAACTACAAGTAGTGAAAGTGAGTGTTAATGAAAACTTATGAGGACCTACTGGACTGTACTGACGAGATTTGCTGATAACGAGATTTACTTATCAAGTTGCTATTAAGTTGTTCGCAAAAAAATACTGTAATATAACTATTAAATTAGTTTTGTTTGTTTAGTAAATTATAAATGCATTTTAAAAGGGCCCTTTAAACCTACACCAGTGTCACAAGTCACCGGCATTACTTGGGGTTTCTCTCCCGTTGGACGACATCAAAGCCTAAATCGTCATCATAATTACCCCAATGCTAGCAATGTACCATGTCAGATTGACCTCCACGCGGTCCCCCCTGTAAAGCATCGTGATAAATTTCTGGTGAATTTGTCACGACGGACTAACTGACCTGACCTCATGCTCATCTTATCATCCTTCACTGGTGCCGCCCGCCAGCGTAAACCGTTAGCGCAGGCGGGTGCACTATTCCATTATCATCCTTTAAAAAAAAATCAAGGAGGTACATACTTGTAATGTGGTGAGAAATAAAGTCATAGGTCAGCAGTTTTTTTTTTTTTTAATATAATTTTCCACAGACATATTCGTCCGTGCCTTTTTTTAATTTACTTTAATATTATTATATTTCTTTAATTTCCACTTTTGTACAACTCCAGAGGAGCCTCCAGCCGAGGTGTTACAATTTGCCTAACAGTTGCACCGAGGCAGACCTTATCCGTCTGGCCCAGAATCGCCGATGGCCGGCCGGGTGAGTTGACAACATGCAGTGTCACCTATCTTTATTAGGAGCCAGTTACATTTACCAATATGCATATACAATTATATAAATCTTACACTACCAATTTCACAGTTTTTCGGCAGCTAAGCTAAGGTCAGCACAGTTGTGATAGACTTCTCCTATATACTAACATATATAACAAGCCCCTTACCTGGCCCCTGATGGTCAGCTTCTTGTTATCCTTGGACAGCAGATCCCTGACGTCCTCGAGGTACAGCTCCACGTAGGAGCAGGCCACCAGGTGAGTAACATCCGGCGACGCGTTGTTCTCAATATGTGACCAGATGTGGCGGAAGGCGCGCGGGATCACGCCCTCGTCCTCGGCGGTGCCTTCCATCGTGTGCGTCTTGCCCGTACCCGTCTGGCCGTATGCGAACACGCAGCCGTTGAACCCGTCCAGCACGGACGCGACCAGAGGGCGTAACTAGATAAAGATAAAGTTTATTTTAATATCTTCATACCTTACTAATATGTATGATAAACGCGAAAGTTTATGAGTATGGATAGATGGATGTTTGTTACTCTGTCACGCAAAAAGTACTGAACGGATTTTGATGAAACTTTACAGTAATATAGCTTATGCAGCAGAATAACAAATAGGGTATATTTTTTATTAAAATTTAACGCAGGTGAAACCGCAAGGGCAATTAATAAACATCCATACTCACAAACTTTCACATTCATAATATTACTATGTACTCGCCCGGCTTTGCACGGGTCTACATGTATTATATATATAAACCTTCCTCTCGAATCACTCTATCTATTAAAATAAACCGCGTCAAAATCCGTTGCGTAGTTTTAAAGATTTAAGCCTACATAGGGACAGACAGCGACAGCGACTTTGTTTTATACTATATAATGATTAGGATTAAGATATACAACATATATATTATGTATATTTAACAAAAATATATAGCCGAATGTAATTCACGCGCTGACGTCATCAAGAGCATCGAGCAAGTACGCAGTATACAGCTAGCCTTGATGAATTCAAACAACACGCTCCTTTGTAGATTATATTGTTATATACAATGAATTATTAAGAGAACAAAAGGCAATAATTTAAACAAACATACCAGACATATAACACTGTAACAGTATGCAGCGACAAAATTAACATGTCCCATAAAATGCTACACAAACGTGGACACTTCTTATCTGGTATTCGCTTACAGTGAGGACATCCTACTAATATTATAAACGCGAAAGTTTATGAGTATGGATAGATAGATAAATAAATAAAAGAAATAAATGTTTGTACTAACGGATTTTGATGAAACCTTACAGTAATATAACTTATAGATCAGAATAACACATAGGCAACTCGTGTGAAACCGCGCGCACAAGTAGTAAAATATAAAAGAAAAATTGTTAAAAATATAGGCTATAATTTAGAAACATTATTTTTTGTGATATACTCGATAAAAAAACATAAAAACTGTACTGTTTACGTTTATATTATTATATTATACTAGCTGTGCTCGCGGTTTCACCACCCTTAAATTTCAATATATGTCTTATTCTGATGCATAATCTATATTACTGTAAAGTTTCATCAAAATCAGTTCAATAATTTTTGCGTGAAAGAGTAACAAACATTTACAATATTATTAAGATTGCACTAAATATCTAGTTACAACAATACATTTATAATAGAATCACGCTAAACCATAAAATTCCAGGCGAATTTAGTTAGTAAGCACTTGTTGATACTGTTGCCGACCATCAAGCGACGGCGACGGTGGCTGGTAGCAGGTCGCGTGCAGCAACTAACATTTAACTAACACTAGAATGCATTTCAGAAGGGGCGCCAATAAAATATTTATTTATAACTAGATGTTGGAATTTAACTTTATTTTTCTAAAACAAAAGTAGCCTAAGTTACTCCTTATTACATCAGCTACCTGCTAAAAAAATCCCGTCAAAATCAATCCAACCATTTCGGAGATTAACCGTAACAAACAAACAGATAGACAAAGATTGTAGAAAATGTTATTTTGGTGCATGTACCGTATTTATATTCATATGCATGTAGAAAAAAAAACGGTTATTTCAATAATACAAACAGACACTGTTTTAAATTTATCGCGGCCATTATTTATACGTATAATTAGTACGTAATCTATATACATAAATAATTAAAGGATTGTCTGTTTATACGTATAATTAGTAAAAATCACGGGATCTTACCACGTTTTATATTTATTTGCTGAGTTCCCAATATATCGGCAGTGTTTCAACCACCATGATCACGGGTGAACTGACCAGTTTACTCGTGATCATGATGGTTTCAAATAAATAAAAAATAAAGCAGGTTAGATCCCGTGATTTTTACTAATTATACGTATAAACAGACAATCCTTTAATTATTTATATGTATAGATTATGACAACCAAGTAAATACCAAACCAAATGCAACATTGTTATTATTGAACACAATAAATGACATTGCAAATTCGAGGTCTTCACAAACCGTCCGCCCACTCTAATGGTTGTTTTATAGAATAAAAATGGTAAAACCACAGACAAACCTTCGGCGCTCGGTCATCATTGAAAGCGAGAAGGTTTCTTTGGCAGATGTCGCGTGGGACGCACGAATAGGATGTTACCTATGTATCCATTTGAGTGATTGATTGATGAATTGAATAGTTTAGTTGTTGCTAATTGATTACATGGAAATTGAGAAATTAGAATTAAATTAATTTAGCAAAGCCTATTACTCACTAAACGATTACTTGAATGACGAGCGTGCATGGCAGTAGTTGTTCATGTACGGGATTTTCATTTAATATTAGACATAGACACCTATATAAATTGTAAATAAACTGGCTTTTAAAAAAATTAATTATTCAATTGAGTTTCTTGCCAGTTCTTCTAAATTGGATCCATACTGAACTGGACGGTAAGGAAAGAATTAAAAATTAATGTAAAAAATTTGACGTTCATAAGCGGCTTATATGTCCTATATGAATAAATGAGTTTTGAATTTGAATTTAAGTATAGGAAAAAACGGAGAATATTGGAAAAATATGAAGGAAGCCTTCACCCAAAGAAGTACATATCAACAAATAGCATCATTGAAATTGTATTGTAAAAATATACAACATGTATTTAAAAAAAAATACGAGCTGAGTTTCTTGTCAGTTCTTCTCATCTCGAAATCATTCCGAACTGACGGTAGATGGAACATATCATAAGTCTGTAATAGACCTACATGAATAAAGATATTTTGAATTTTGAATTCACACAGCGACATCTATTTCCAAGATAAGCAGATCTTGTGTTATAGGTACTAGACCACTGATAGATCTACATAGAAGCATTTTTTTATTGTAAATTCATACATAGAACACACATTTAAGTACCAATACAAACTATTATACGCACAGAATAACACATAGGTTATAATTTAAAAAGATATTAGATAAATTGGGCGAAATATAATGATAAATGTCGAGTAAGTGTGATGCAGACGAAGTCGCGCGGGTGAGCTAGTATTAAAGACTGTTCCCCGCGGTTTAACCTGCATGAAATTTATAGTCTGTTATTCAGATGTATAAGCTATATTATTGTAAAGTTTCATCAAATTCCGTTACGTCCAATCACAATTTTACAATTTTATTATATACTTGCTAAGTTCGTCTTTCGTCATTGTCGTCGTTCGTCATCAGTGATACCCAAAGTGGTCTATATCGACCCCCAGGGGTCTATGACAAACTGCAAGGGGTCTACGACCGCGGGTATCATGTTGTTTTTACTTTATGTTTATAACACTAAACTTTACTACAGTTAGAAATTTACGAAAAATCAATGCCAGGTACATGTCATGTAAGTAAGATGTAGACCAGAGGTTCCCAAACTTAGACAGGGGGTCTACCCAATACCGAAAAATATGTCAAGGGTGTACGACACAAAAAAGTTTGGTAACATCTGGTCTACATCTTACTTACATAACATGTATTATGTTTCGCCCAATTTACATACTATCTTTTTTAACTACAGCCTATGTGTTATTCTGATGTATAAGCAATATTAAAACATCTATACATCCATACTCACAAACGTTCAAGTTTATAATATTAACTAGCTACTCGCTCCGGCTTCGCCCGGGAGTACATGAATTATACATATAAACCTTCCTCTTGAATCACTCTATCTAATAAAAAAAGTAGTAGCGTAGTTTCAAAGATTTAAGCATACATAGAGACATACAGCGACAGCGACTTTGTTTTATACTATGTACTTTATGTCAGAGAAATACGAGAAAACAAATTGCGAGCAATATAAACAACCTATTTATAGAACCAGTTAACAAATTACAATACATTGCAATGAAATTTTCTCTTTTTAAAATAATATATTCTCTGTTCATTTGATTTTATTTTTATATAGTCAACAATTGTGTTTTTATGAAATCAAACTAAAAAATCTTAATTAGTCTGATATGTCAAACTCACTGATCTGTAATAGTTAATAATTATTTGGCAATTCTTTTGTGGATTCCCGCGATACAGGTTCGCCTGGTGCGGGCTCTAATGTATAATAAATTTTGTAATTGTAATTCATCATCATCATCATCGCAGCCCGGAAGACGTCCACTGCTGGACATAGGCCTCCCCCAAAGATCTCCACGACGATCGGTCCTGCGCTGCTCGCATCCAATGCCTTCCCGCTATCTTGACCAGATCGTCGGTCCACCTTGCTGGAGGCCTTCCCACGCTGCGTCTTCCGGTCCGTGGTCGCCACTCGAGGACTTTACTGCCCCAACGGCCATCTGTCCTACGAGCTATGTGCCCTGCCCATTGCCACTTCAAAGTCGCAATTCTTCGGGCTATGTCGGTCACTCTGGTTCTTCTACGGATCTCCTCATTTCTGATTCGATCACGCAGAATAACTCCGAGCATAGCCCTCTCCATTGCCCTCTCCTCTCCATTGCCCTCTCAATTGTAATTGCACACGCTTTATGATTGCAATTTTGACATACACAGTACGCACGAGGAAATGGACATTAAACGTGAATTATACAATAGAAAGTCCGGCTCATTTACGAAATGTACAATGTATTAACTAACCGCGTGCCGAGAGTGTCCGGCTGAAATTAATGCTCGAATCACACACGTGCAGTGTCCGCGAAACGGAAAAAATGCACCCGGACGACGGAGGCCGACGGCGCGGTGGGTGATGTAGAAATCGTAAAATATATTGCACATTTCGCTGCACATTGTATTTTATTAACATTTAATTATGTCGATTGGCCGCCTCCGCACTGAATAGGACTACCGGCCGCCCGATTGTATAACTCTGTCGCTATCGATATTCAAACTAAAAATGTCTATTCTAAAATTGTTATAATAATAATAATCTCAGGACAATTCACACAGCGCCATCTAGACTCAAGTTAAGCTAGATAAAGCTTGTGCCTTGGATGTCTAACGGTTTAGCACACTGCCGTATCTTCGATAGTCGTGGGTTCGATTCCTCGCACGGTGCAAACATTTGTATTTCTGAGTATGATTGTTTGTATCGGTCTGGGAGTTTTCTATGTAAACTAATCAGTGTTCGTAATCTGAACAGACCAGCCCCACAAGCAGCACCCGGTCACGAGTATAATAATAATAATCTCAGGACAATTCACACAGCGCCATCTAGACCCAAGTTAAGCTAGCTAAAGCTTGGGTTATGGGTACTAGATACAAATATATGATACAACTACATAGATTTTTTTTTTGTTTGTAAATACATACATATTATACATAGAAAACACCCAGACCGATACAAACAATGATACCCATGAGTACAAATGTTTGTGTCGTGCGAGTAATCGAACCGGCGACCGTCGGACGTAAAACGGTGTGCCAGACCGCTAGACCACCGAGGTCGTCAAGGTGTTATTCTTCAGTAAACTTAATATAACAGCCTTGGATGTCTAACGGTTTAGCACACTGCCGTACCTTCGATAGTCGTGGGTTCGATTACTCGTGCAGTGCAAACATTTGTATTCATGAGTATGATTGTTTGTATCGGTCTGTGTGTTTTCTATGTATAATATGTATGTATTTACGAAAAAAAATCTATGTATTTGTATCAGTTATCTAGTACCCATAACACACGCTTTAGCTAGCTTAACTTGGATCTAGATGGCGCTATGTGAATTGTCCTGAGATTAATATTATCATACTCGTGACCTGCTTGTGGGGACTGGTCTGTTCGGGTTACGAATACTGATTAGGCTGCTTTTGACAAAATTGCCATAGCATATGCTATTGGTCACTGTACTCCCAAATTTGAATTTAAAAATGAATCTTCATTACTGTAAGCATATACAACCATATTTGAAAAGAATACGAGCTGAGTTTCATGTCAGTTCTTCTCAGCTCGAGAAAAAGAAAAAAAAAAAGAAAAAGCTAGACTACCGAAGTCATGTATGAGTATGACGTCACGGATGAGCCAGCCGAATGCCTGTTTCCCACCATCGTAGTATAAAAAAACTCACCATCTCGTCGTAGAGGGTCTGCGTGTCTGCGGCTGCGTCGTAGGCGGCGTCGTATGTGAACATCTTGTCTTCACCCTTGGGGTTGTACACCTGCACGGTGCCGCGCTCCGGCCACATCTTCACCACCTGTCATCACCCACAACAAACACACATTACAACATACCCGTATAGGGGGAAAGCGGAATGTTTAGTAATGTGGACTAATGATCTTTTTGCTACCAATGTGCCATGTTAGGTTGACCTCCACGCGGTTCCCCTTGGAAACCATCGTGATATTTTTTTTTAATTTTATTTCGGCACATAACAGTCATACAACAAAAATACCAAAGTTGCTCTTATATCTCTTACTCTTACTCTCAACCTGTTACTATTATACTAATTTTAAATATTTTATGCTGTACGAGGACACTATTCCACGCGGACGAAGTCGTGGGAACAGCTAGTCAATATATAAAATGCACAGATAACATAATATTACATATGTATATACTAAACGTTACATAAAACTTAAAACTGTATACAGCATAATATAGAGAATATATTAATATGTTAAGAAACATATAGAAAAAAATATCAGAATATCTCTGATAATTTAGACAATTGCTGTATTATAATTTTAATATCATAGTACACTAGCTGCTACACGCGACTTTGTCCACGTGGGATTAAAGTAAATAAAAATTCTAAAATAAAACTAGCCCAGTTGCAAATAGCTAATGTCATAAGGAGTCACTCATTATGACATTACCTATTTAGGCTATCTGTGAGTGAAAGTTCCGTCGAAATCGGAACAGCTGTTACAGAGATCAGTTAATTTTTTTTAAGTAAGTATCATATGCATTTAGTGAGAAGCTGTTAATTTGAAATTACAAACGAACTCTTCAGTTATATTTATTTATATAGATATGTGTATAAATTTGTAATAGCAATACTTATATATATAAAATATTGAATTCAAGATAAGTTTGTTGTATTTTATACCAAACACGCAAAGTACTAAAAATGATTATCTCTTGTTACAATGATCATAAACATCATAGTATTCTATGAACTGGAAAATCACTGTAATTATACTATAAAATTAGTAATAAATATATAACATGGAATAGTTCATTTTATAGGTATTGTAAAATATATAATCTTGACCCTGGGAAATACAGACGTATCAACAACATCTAGAATATTTATTATACAGTGTAAGTTTTGTGTAATTTGTATAAAATGAAACAAATATATCTGTAATCTTAATACTGAATATATATGTTTTTTTTTTTATAACACAGGGGCAAACGAGCATGCGGCTCACCTGATGGTAAGTGATTACCGCCGCCCATGAGCACCCGCAATACCAGGGGAATTGCAAGTACGTTGTCGGCCTTTTAAAAAGGAATAAGCTCTTTTCTTGAAGGTTTCAATATCGTATCGGTTCGGAAATACCATTGCTGGAAGGTGATTCCACAATGTGGTTGTGCGGGGCAAAAAGTTTCTAGAAAACCGTACTGTAAGTCAAAGGTGACTGACTGACATAGTGATCTATCAACGCACATCCCAAACCACTGAACGGATCGGGCTGAAATTTGGCATGCAGGTAGATGTTATGACGTAAACATCCGCTAAGACAGGATTTTGATTAATTGTCTCCCCAAGGGGATAAAATAGGGGATGAAAGTTATAGATTAGTAATATTATAAACGCGAAAGTTAGTGAATATGGATGTATGTTTGTTAGTCTTTCACGCAAAACCTACTGAGCGTATTTTTATCCAACTTTACAGTAATATTTCTTATATATCAGAATAACACATCATTACATAGTATAAAACAAAGTCGCTGTCGCTGTCTGTCCGTCCCTATGTATGCTTAAATCTTTAAAATTACGCAACGGATTTTAAATAGAGTGATTCTAGAGGAAGGTTTATATGTATAATACATGTATACCCGGGCGAAGCTAGGGCGAGTAGCTAGTAGGCTATAATTTTAAAAGATATTATGTAAATTAGGCGAAATATAAAGATAAATGTCATGCAAGTGGGATGCAGACGAAGTTACGCGGATCAGCTAGTAAAACAATAAAAAAAATGTAGGAAAGTACCAATGAAAATGAATAGCACAATCAAAAACACACCGAATGGGACTTAAATTGGACGTCATATATATTACATTGGTGCAGCAAAACCTTGGCAGAGATCTACTTTCTTTTAATCATAAAACTGGAACAAAAGATTTATTTCTGACAATCATTACATTGGTTAGTACATCTATTCATCCGTCAGCATATGCCGAAAGTGTAGGCGGATGCATGACGTACAAGCATGCATATAGAACATGTTCTATTTTTACTCAATTAGTATCAGAAAAGATCTAGGAATGATATTATGTCAACTACACGTTACATGAAAGAGACATTTACCATGTCTCGTTTATAGAATACTAGCTACTCGCCCCGGTTTTGCACGGGTGTACATGCTATATATGTATATATAAACCTACCTCTTGATTCACTCTATCTATTAAAAAACTACTGAACGGATTTTGATGAAACTTTACAATAATATAAGTCAGTTTTTTACAGTAAGTATACTATACATCAGAGGGTATATTTTTTATTAAAATTTAACTCTGGTCAAACCGCAAGGCCAATATTAATAAACATCCATACTCACAAACTTTCGCGTTTATAACATTACTATGTACTCGCCCCGGCTTCGCACAGATGTACATGTTACATATATATATAAACCTTCCTCTTGAATCACTTTATCAATTAAAAAAAACAGCTTCAAAATCCGTTGCGTAGTTTTAAAGATTTAAGCATACATAGGGACAGACAGCAACAGCGACTTTATTATATATATATACTATGTAATGTTTGATAGTGAGTAAAATTCTATAGTTATATTAAAAGAAACACAGCGAAATCTTCTAGGATGTTCTTAGTTTTGTATTAAAACATTTATAGTATAGAAAAAGTGGGTGAAAGAATCAAATCCGCGTTTAAAGTAAGACTGTAAAACTGTACGTAATCTATTTATACTTACTCGTATTATCGTAACCGCACTCCAGTTTCCCTCTGTTAGATCACAGGAAGTGCAAATTATAATAATAGAATAGCAAAACCATAATAATTTTATGATAATTTCTTATTGGGTTGGTAAATATTTAAGAATATGGGACACAGTGGGACACAGTCACCTAGATACATCAAAATAATAATTGCATTAAATAATGCCTAGTAAGACAAATTCAATATTGTGTACTAAGCACTGCTGTGTCTAAACTGTGTCACCCCACCTTACATTTTCCTATTGTTATTTAGTATATAAGATCAATATTTCTATGTACATATTGTCAGTTTATTATCATCTGTAATATACATCGTCTCGACCAACAACATCGTATCACTCACTCGCAACAAAGAACTAGCTGTTTCTGCGGTTTTATCCGCATGGAATTTATAACCTATGTGTTAGTCTTATATATAAGCTATATTACTGTAAAGTTTCATTAAAATCATAGTTTCTGTATGAAACAGTAACAAACATCCATCCATTCATACTCACAAACTTTCGCATTTAAGGAAGAGGGATTGTGAAGAGTATAGTCAATAATGAGGATTAATAACCCCAATGCCAGCAATGTACCATGTCAGGTTGACCTCCACGCGGTTCCCTCTGGAAACCATCGTGAATTTACCACGATGGGCTAATTGACCTGCCCTCCTGCTCATCTTATCATCTTCCTCTGATGCCCCGCCAGCGTAAACCGTTAGCGGAGGCGGGTGAAAATTCCTTTATCATCCATAAAAAAAACTTAGTTAGATAGGTCATACACCAAAACTCTGTTAAATATTAAACAATTTATATATCTTATACTAATATACATTAATTACTCATAATTATTTTGAATTCATATTAATAAATTAGTGCCCGGTCGCCGCGCGTATTATTTGATGAGTCTTTTAAGATGAGATCAACTGATATCGATAGATGTTATTACTGAATGAGGTCAAGCGTACCGCTAACCGCCACCTTACATTATCTGTAACTACAATTAAAGCTGTTTATATTATAGATGAGAATTATCAAAAGATCTGTCCATATGAAGCGAGCAGTTGTATGTTCAGGCATCTTGTTCATCATTATCAATAAAGAGTATCTATATTCTATCTATCTATATATCTATCTATGTTCTTGGGACTGGGGTCGGTGCAGCCAACGATGGTGGTAATTCAAAACATCTGTTAAATCATATTTACTGAGCAAAGCCTAACTCACTAAACGATTACTTGAATGACGAGCGTGCATGGCAATAGTTGTTCACGCACGGGATTTTCATTTAATGTTACACATAGACACCTATATAAATATGCATTGCAAATAAACTGGCTTTAAAAAAAAAGTAATTCAATTGAATTTCTTGCCAGTTCTTCTAAATTCGATCTATATTATTTAACTGGATGGTAGGGAATAAAATATAATATTAAAAATTTGACGTTCATAAGCGGCTCAAATGTCCTACATGAATAAATGATTTTTTAATTTCGAATAAAAAACGCAATGGAAGAATAACAGTAAAAAATATATGTCATAACAAACTACATGTATTGTAGACGAAGGCAAGAGGAATAACGAAACCATGTTAGGAAGAAAATATACATATAAAAATATATAAATCTAAAGAGTCCTGTATTCAATGATTAAAATTTTTTATTGATGTTATGCTAATTTTAATATCCATAGGTGCCTATAGATATTAAAATTAGTATAAAACAAACAGCACGTATTACCTTTATTTCTATCAAATCAGTGCGGTGAGTGACTGACATAGTGATCTATCAACGCACAGCCCAAACCACTGGATGGATAGGGCTGAAATTTGGCATGCAGGTAGATCTTATGACGTGGGCAATCGCTAAGAAAGGATTTTGTTTAATTCTACCCCAAGGGGATAAAATAGGGGATGAAAGTTTGTATGAAACTTTGTCAATTTTAAACCGATCGGGCTGAGACTTTGCATGCATAAAGCTACTATACCGTAGGCATCCCCTAAGAAAGGATTTTGATAAATTCCACCCATAAGGGGGTAATTTAACGCGAGCGAAGCCGCGGGCAAAAACTAGTTTATTTATAAGCGTTATCATGACCAAATTATAAAGATACTGATTAAATAATCAGGCCAATGTAATGCAGATTTACATTAGTTTTATCCTCGTTATGCGTTTCGAAATACTGAACTATTCTACCATAATCTTCTGTTGGGTATTGTGTACGAGTTCTATTATTTCTGTTATTGCTCTTTTTAATTAATTTAAATTAATTGCGGTGTCCTCGCTGATGTAGCTATTTAGCATACTGTCTCAGTTTCCGTTGATTAGTCATATTCTTGAATACAAATATTTGTTGTACTAGGATCGAATCAAATTCAAAATATCTTTATCCATGTAGGTCTATTACAGATTCTTATGATATGTCAAATCTACCATCAGTTCGGAATGATTCCGAGATGAGAACTGATAAGAAACTCAGCTCGTATTCTTTTCAAATTAATATTATATATGTTTACAATAATACTGATTAATTTTTTAATTCAAACTTGGGAGAATAGAAAACTAGAAGAAAGTGAAGCGATGTATTACTCTACTGTACCGTTCAGATCCTGTATCATGCATCTAAAAATAAGTATTTTATGTCCCATCATTCAAGATCCGCGTAATTTAGGCTTAGATGACACTGAATAAAGAACAGAGTTACGTACTTTTCTACTCTGTGGCACTAAGTATATGCCCAACTTATTCATTTAAAAAAGCAATGACATTGGATTTGGGATATTCTATATAGGTATATAATAAAAAAAGTAATTCAATTGAGTTTCTTGCCAGTTCTTCTCAATTGGATCTATATACTGAACTGGACGGTAGGGTAGACGTTCATAAGCGGCTAAAATGTCCTACATGAATAAATGATTTTTAATTTGAATATTTCAAGTAAGAATTTTAAGATCGAAAAGGCTGCTACATATTCAAATATATTATTATGGATAAATATGGAATAGTGCCTCGTCCCGCCCCTCGGAGAATTGTTTGTAATGAAGAATAGAATAGAGCTCAATGAGATCAGTCCACGCTTGTGTAGGCCCGGGCCAGACCCATCGGAAAGTGGCCAATTTAAACCAACTTGGCGGACTGGCTTCCAGAAAAAGGCAAGGACCCAAGAAGATGACAATAAAGGCCTTAAATTCCAAGCGATGCACCATGCAACATTCACGCGCTCCTTCTGGAAGTCATCATGGATAATTTCTAGTGATGAATTGGCCTGACTTTATCGTCATCCTATCATCTTCCACAGGTGCCTTACTAGAATATTCCATTAGCGTCCGACTACGCTAATTACTAATTCCATATCTAATCATTAAATATTTATAGATAAACTAGCAGACCCGGCCACGCGTTGCTGTGTCTAAGGTTCTTGAATAAAATAAAATTGAGATGTAAGCTATCCTATCTTTCAAGTTGGATTAAATTGCACAAAATGTGCAAATCAAATTTGCAATTGGTTCAGTAGTTTAGGAGTCCATCACGGTCAAACAACGTGACACGTAATTTATATAATATATATCTATAATATCTATCGTGATCGAATCAGAAATGAGGAGATCCGCAGAAGAACCAGAGTGACCGACATAGCCCGAAGAATTGCGACTCTGAAGTGGCAATGAGCAGGGCACATATCTCGTAGGACAGATGGCCGTTGGGGCAGTAAAGTCTTCGAGTGGCGACCACGGACCGGAAGACGCAGCGTGGGAAGGCCTCCAGCAAGGTGGACCGACGATCTGGTCAAGATCGCTGGAAGGCATTGGATGCGAGCAGCGCAGGACCGATCGTCGTGGAGATCTTTGCGGGAGGCCTATGTCTAGCAGTGGACGTCTTCCGGGCTGCGATGATGATGATGATGATGATATCTATAATATGTATATATAATATTTGACCCTAATAAAGTGCTGGTTGGTAGTTTGTATTCACACGTTTCGACTTGTAAAATGTGAACTTACAAGAACTATTTAAAAGAGTATGTTATGACCATTCAAAAGTGCTTAAATTAAGTTTATTTGGATAAAAGATTTTCTATTCTATAAAGATTTTAGAATGGACGTCAATAAAGCCGCAGACATATGGACAGATCGTGCAACTACTGATAAATTTGATGATTGTTGTACTCCTGCCACCCTACCGCCCTGGAGCCCCAGAGCCTGTGTTAGTGCCACCATTCTCCAGATGTTACCGCGGATAGAGCAGACAATTCACACCTGTAAAGGTCCGTCAAACTTTTTGTCGGGCACGATAGACTTTGTATTCGAAGACAGCCGCTCGAACCATTTCATCTCCGCTCGCCTCTTTGACACCTATATTTGGGATCTATTAAATGTTACTAACATTTTTATAGTAAATAAGCGGCAATTTATATTGTTAACATTTTGTTAATAGTTTCTTGTAGAATTATATTGTTTTCAATAGTAAATTAACGCTTGCAAGTAACACAGTAGATACATTTCATCAAATCAATATTTTAAAAATTAAAAAATTCACACAATGTTCAACGTTGTCTCGTATATAATACATACTTATAAATATATAATTATAGTATTACAAATGGTAAAGCATCGGGCGCTAGACTGTAGACCTGTATGTACACATACTCTCTTATTAATAAAAAGTAAAACCTACATATCTAATTAGGTATTTTTGAATTAATAATATAAGAATTTCGAACGATTGGCAGACTGATAAAAATTATGACTGATCAAAAGTGCTTATATTAAGTTTATTTGAATAAAGAATATTTCTATTTCAATGCTTTGGAAGAAAGAGGCAAAAGAGTATAACTATTCTGCCTTAAAATATACCGTCGCAGTGAGTCGAGATAAATAGTTTTGTGAAAAGAAACAATCTCAAAGTCATTTCTCTCGATATATTGTGGATATTAAATACCTACAATACATACAAAGGTGCGGCAGTATTATTCTTTGTGTAAAACTTTATTTACAATTAGCTGTTCTTGCGGCTTGGTCCGCGTGGAATTTAACTTTATTTTTCTAAAATAAAAGTAGCCTAAGTTACTCCTTATTACATCAGCTACCTGCCAATAAAAGTCCCGTCAAAAGTCGGTCGAGTCGGTCCAGCCATTTCAGAGATTAGCCGGTGCAAACAGACAAAAATTGTAAAAAATGTCATTTTGGTGTATGTACCGTATTTATATTCATATGCATGTAGTAAAAAACGGTTATTTCAATATTACAAACAGCCACTCCAATTTTATTTGTATGTATAGATTGAGTTAATATGATAACGTGTGAGCAAGTAGGTAAATGAGTACTAAGACTCGATGCAACAGAAGGCTGCACGCCAGATGATCTACACCAAATATGGACAAATCTCATATGGCCATTATTATTACTCGGTACATTACTCACATCAACTACATCAGTATGGCACGCACAACATTCATTGCGTGCCTGTTGATTTATTTTAAGAATACCTAAGTACATGCATATACATATACACATATAAGTAGTGTATATATCGACCAGTATTATGAACAGTAGGTCAATAGTTTTTCGGATTACTCTAATGCTGTTGGCCGCAGCTGGCCTTTACAGCTTCACCGGATGATAGCGGGCGAGTGCAGATGGCACTCCAAACCGCGGAAGGACTTATGGAGCGGCTAAAGGCCAACTCCTGCTTGACGGGTACGATTTTAGTCTGAGAGCACCGCTAGGGGTTCGAACCTCGGCTCAGGCCGTGGTAATTTCGATCCCCGTTTGAATTGGATAGGGATCGATCGGAGGGGACCGGTTCAATTGTGTCGAATCGCCATTTGATATAAATTGCTAGCCATTGTACCTATTTCAGTATATTAAGTATGCGTAGTAGTTGATCTATTATTGTATTAATTTACTGGTAAAGGCTATAAGAATGAGAGTGAGTGGACTCACTGCCCCCACTGAGTTATAGACCGTTTTGTCTCCTTCATTACTTTTAAATTTTATTGTTGTATGGACAACAATTGTATTAGTTTTTGTTTGAGACAAATAAAGATGACTGTTATTATTATTGTTTATCTTTTCTCTTTCTTTCCCTTCCTTTAAAAATTTTAAAAGAAGCTAATACTCATGTATACAGGTCTTAGCCAAGTGTGGGAGAGGTTGTGCTGTGTGATGATATTGTTGAGGTTAAGAGTTTTCGGGTTATGCGACAGGTATTTAGTATTATGGCTTTTTGTAGGAGATATGTTTTGGAAGGGTGAATATTTAATGTTTGCAGACTATTTTAAAATGTTTTGGGTACAATACCCATAGAAGAAAGTATTTTTTTTTTGTTTTTTTATTAATTTACTTCTCGGCTTTCGCCGTTAGTTTTGGTATGTACGGGCGTAAGTCGTTATTATTATTATTATATGATCAACAAAAACAAGTATTTAATATACTCAACATGCTTATTTATTTATTTATTAGGAAACCAACAGCTTACAATCTAATACATTAAATCAACAGTATTGCTTATTTATTGTTAAAAACATTTACTTTACTAGGATCATTGCAAATAGTTAAGCCATGCAGAAATTTGAACAGACAATGTAAGTGGGTTGGAACACACCTACAATCTTACTTACTATTCCTAAAGTAGGAATTATGTCAGTTGATTATTGTGCACATTGGCGATTTACTTTCATTTTATTAAGTTAAGAAGAAAAAGATATTTATTCAGTGCTTTCAAAACAATATAAAAAACCAAACAAAAAAAAGATTAAATAAAAAGTAAAGTAAAACTAATACCGTATTATTATTATATATATTATATATTTTATTAATATATATATTATACTTTATGGAGCAGATATCAATTATTGTATCACATTAAATTACCCATACAGAAACATATTAATACATTTAAATTCTGTATGGATATGTATCTGTAATGTCACATGTCATATTAATTAAATGTAGTAAATATATTACAAAAGTAAAGGGCAGTAGTGTGGTTTGACAACATCAATTCCAACCACAGACTAGCACTTCTATAAGTTTATTTATAGCAATTAATATACTGCAAATAATAATTTACTGGTCCTAAATAAAAACTAATATTTTAAAGAAACCTTTTTTTTGTAGACAATTTTAATAAATTCACAAGGATTTACAGTGACCATTTTTGATCCTATTGTTCATATTATAATATGGTATTATTATTAATGAAGAATTTAATGAAACTATACTTCATCATTAGATCCAATTAATATGTGGGCAGTCTATGTAAATATTGAAACAAAGAGTTACTGTTCTTATTATATTAATTATATTCCAATGGTTTCTATATAAAACTTGCTGTGACAAATTTTCTTTTTACCTACTTTCAATATTTATTTATTACCTACTGATTTATAAAACAAAATTGTGAGATCACAGATTTATATGCCTATTATTTACATCTTATGTAACATCCTGATATGGCCTAATTCGATTTTTTTTATTTTAGGCATGTCTGTTAGGGATGATATACCTACATTTCAAATATTAAAAAGATATTTAACTGCATTGGTTTAAAAAAATACCCTCCATATATAAACTAACAGAATTGACACTATCTTCTGTCTAGCATTATTGTAAACTAGAGTAACTCAGTATACTAGTTCTGTACTTACTATCTAGTGATAGGTACTAAGAAATTTGTGCATATATATATATTTAGCAATATGGATTGTTTTAAGAGTCAGACTGAATTTACGTATGGGCGTCGAATTTCAAGGAATATGATAACCCACGCACGTGAATCACACCTTCAGACCATTGTACGACGATGTACTCGAAATTAATTAATTACTAATGTGCGATGTCGAGTTAGCAATCGTATTATCACTACGGCCCCGGTGACGTTGCTCTGATTAATATCGTAATCAAAATTAATGCCACATATTAATTATCAGCAGTTTTCTTATTGGAAGAAGCCGACGCACCAGGTCTGCGCAGTCCTAGCACCCGATACAAAGTACAGCGAGACGACCAACTCACCTCATCATAGCCCTCTTTTTTCTCTCTTTCGGAGAGTGGCCGACACCGAACCACTACCTTCACACACTCGTTTAAGGCCGTCCGTGGCCGCGCTGACTTCTCCATCTTCCACTACCCCTCGACGACACCAAGTAAATTTACAAACACAAAGTCACCGATATCGATCCATCCGGGGTGTATAACACGGCATCACCTGTTCGAATCGATCCCACAAAATAATATATATTGATTTCCAGAACACAACGTTCACTAAAATTCCACAAATGATCACTATAAATATTGTCGCACACGATTAAATATTTTTATCTTCAAGAAAATAAATAAAATCGTAATATTTAGTTAATGAAGATTCGTAGCGACCACTATATATGAACGTTTGATTACAACTACTTCTTAATTTGTAAAATTGACATGACATGTTTACTTGACAACGAAATTAAGTTGCCATATAAAAAATGTAAATTTCTGAACATGAGTTTGTTCAAACTATAAAACAATATTAAAATACATAATAGTGAAAATGGTTAGATTATTAAGTAGGTTCGCTATATAATATATTTATTTAATAATATACATATTTTGCAGCAAAAAATATTATTTCCCTGGTGTCGTCCTACTCTGTATTATTTTCTCTGTGTACCATATTTGTCTATTCTTTAAAGAATTATGTTAAAAAAACATACGTATTTGTTTACAAAACATTTTTTTAAATAAATTCATATTTATGATATTTAATTATTATACAACTTAAACGATGTCTACAAATCTATCTATTAATCTAAAAAGAGTTAGCAAAGTTTACAATGAAGGTGTAAGTTTAATTAAAATTGCAAATTTAATATTACATTGTGATAAAAAAACTATCAATGTTATTTATTTAATTTATATTGAATTAGGAAACTATAGCCGGCGTGGTTGTGGTTGAGAGCACCGGTGACTTGCGACATGAAGGTCTGACACTAGCCATGGAAGGGTTCGTAAATCTGCAGCTTAGTACCAAGAATGTAGGCATATTTGAAGCTTTCTCCAATAGTATCAAGGTAAGGATGCATATGGATTCTTGAGAATAGCACGAGATCAAATAAAAAGTGGATGAAAATGAAAAACTATAAATGGAATCTGTAATCCATTACAGAGATACTTGTGGACAGAGATGAATGGAAGTTGTAGACATAATATGATTATGCCAATTGCAAATAATTTGGTATAAGGAAGGTAGATGATTATGATAATAGTAGGGTATGTGCAGGGTAAACACTGAAACCAATGGGTGCAGTAATAAATCACATCCACTGACGTGAACCCTATGCCCTATTGTTGACAGTGTATCTTATCCAGCTACACACAGCTCTCTCCTAAAAACTTCTAGATGAGAACAGTCTAAACTGACTTCCTACTTATATTATTATCTACCAATGGTGTCCCAGCAGTGATTATTATTATCCTTCACATCATCATCTATTATAAGAATATTTTTAAAACCATAATAGCTAAAAGGCCTGCAAACATTTCATATTTGGCCTGTGCTATATGCCCACTGTGCCCACAAATTTATCTTTTTTTTTATGATATCCTTACTCATGATGTAATCTACATCCATACTAAATTTTATTAATAACTGTTCACCTATTTAGTCATGAAAGTGTAACAAATAAGCAGATGGAAAAACTTTCACATTAATAATACTAGTATGCATGTATACATTACCTTGTTAGTTTATTGAAGTTGGGACCTAGATTCTGTATTAATTATTATTATTCTATTCCAGCCAATAAATTTAATAAACACATCAATGGAACTAGTGCCACCAGGCAAGATACCAGTGGGTATTACAGAGATACCATTTGAGGTGCCTCTTCGAGCCCGTCAGGCGGTCTCCCCGGGGTATCCAGGCCTGTTGGAGACATATCATGGAGTGTTTGTGAATGTTATGTATGTACTCAAATGCAACATGAAGAGATCATTTTTAAATAAACCTGTAAATGCTAGCTGCCAGTTCTTTGTACAACATAAACAAGTAAGTGAAATGTTTGTGTAGTATTTTTGTTTTTCTAAATATATAGATGAAACTTTGTCAATTTTAAACCAATCATACTGAGACTTTGCATACATAAAGCTACTATGACGTAGGCATCCCCTAAGAATGGATTTTGATAAATTCTACCCCTAAGGGGATAAATTAATGCCAGTGAAGCCGCGGGCAAAAGCTAGTGTTAAGATAAATGGTGACCCCAGGCAATGTAAGATATAGATATAGATATCACATATACTTAACTAACATGGAAATAATTAATTTAATACAACATAAATGACATGGAAACTAAATGTATACTATTCATGTAAGTCTATTACAGACTCGTTATCATCATCATCATCATCATCCTAACATCATCATGGTCATCTTATCATTATCATCATTATCCTATCATCATCATCGTCATCATCATGGACACATCTTATTGTTTTAGCAAGAGCCAGCGCCATTGAAGCCAGTTCGTTGTGAGATAACACCATCTACAATACGAGCGTCCAGCACCAGCAGTGGAGGCCGCGCGACGATGCCACAGTTTCAGATCTATGCAGAAATTGATACCACAGTTTGTCCATTGGACAAGCCATTGACTGGGAAGGTAAAGCTAATTTAATGAAAATACAAAAGTTTATATATTTTTCTTTAGGAGGGATATAAAGATTATCAAGAATTAAAGAGCATGATGGAAGATCACGGAAAGTGGCAACAGCTCCACCGACAAGAGCGTAGCTCTTAAATTATAAATGAATGAATGAAAGATTATCTGATGATTTGTAAAGATAATGTAATAATTTGTAAAGCTATTTGAATATTTGTTACACTTATACTATTTTACCATGCTTAAATTGAACTATTTCCTTTTGTCAAAGTTATAATAGCATATCCTGGAGGTCACTCTATTCTGTCCAATATGAATTTAAAAATGAATCTGTATTTTTGTAAACATGTACAAGCTCATTTGAAAAGAATACGAGCTGAGTTTCTTGTCAGTTTTTCTCCGCTCAAAAGCACTCGAACTGACGGCAGATTTGATATATCATGAGAGCCTATAATAGATCTACATGAATAAAGATATTTTGATTTTGTTACATGATGATTTTTATACATATGCAACATGTTTCTAGTAATAAAATGACGACCTCGGTGGTCTAGCGGTCTAGCACACCGCTTTACGTCTGATGGTCGCGGGTTCGATTCCTCGCACGGCACAAACATTTGTATTCATGAGTATGATTTTTTGTATCGGTCTGGGTATTTTCTATGTATAATATGTATGTATTTACGAAAAAAAAATTATCTATGTATTTGTATCAGTTGTCTAGTACCCGTAACACAAGCTTTAGCTAGCTTAACTTGGATCTAGATGGCGCTGTGAGAATTGTCCTGAGATAAAAAAAAAATGAATAAACAAACATTTGAAATTCTAGGAAAATTATCAGTACAATGTATAATACTTTTTTTTTATAGACTTTGTGCTGACAATCATCAGCTTGTGCCAAGACATAGGCCTCTTCCAAAAGACTCCAGGCTCCTCTGTCCAACGTCTTCCTTCTCCATGTTGGTTCCGCCACTACCCTTATATCATCCTCCCACCTCTTTCTCTGTCGCCCTCATTGTCTTTTTTGTTCTCTACTAGCATAATATTTAGCTATTTTTAAATTTTATTTTAATACTAACTAAATACATTCAACGCCATCTAGTGGACACAGCTGTATTCTAAATTGAGATAGAGACTAACATAATGTTTTTAAATAGTAAATAGTCTAAATGTCTGCTTATTGATGACAGATTCGGGTAGACGAATGTTCTGTGCCCATCAAGTCTATAGAGCTGCAACTGGTGCGCGTAGAGACATGCGGCTGTGCTGAAGGATACTCTAGAGACGGTAGGCTCACTCATCTACCATCTACCATGTTACATAAAATAACTGTTTTGATAATCAACTGGTTCTGAATCTCAACATTTTTGTTCTTTTTCTCAGTTGAAGCATAATACGAAAATATGTAATTACTAGCTGTGACCGCGTTTTCACCTGCGTTAAAACTAAATAAAATATGTTTCTATTAGCTTATATTACTGTAAAATTTCATCAAAATCCGTTGAATGTAAAATACGTTGTGTTTTGCGTGAAAGAGTAACAAACATCCATACATACAAACTTTTGCGTTTATAATATTATTAAGATTAAGGTATTGCTTCTACTAGTTATTTCCCGTTACTTCCTCCGCGTGTAATGTAACTATCTTATATTGTTTTAAATAGTTAATTTCTGACAGAATATTCATCCTAAGTTACTCCGTAAAACATTAGCAATCTGCCTGCATGTCAAAGTACCGTCAAAAAGGGTCCGGCCGTTACAGAGATTGTTAACAGACTTTTTTTTTAATTAAGGTATTGATGTAAGTACCTTATATTTTCATATGCATTTCGTTAAGAGCTGATAATTTCAAATTACAGACACAGACGCTTCAAAGTTATTTATTTGTATAGATATAGGGAAGTCAAATACTATTATTTATACAACGATGGTGACAAATAAGCAGACAGCCTATCTGATCGTAAACAGTTACCGTAGCCTATGGACGCCTGAAACACCAGGGTATCACATGCTTGTTGACGTTTAGGAAACCTTATTATACCTTTCTTGAAAAAGTTGTTGTCTCTAGAGAAAACCTCGACAGGCACACTACAATTGTTGTATATGTAATGTAATATTTTCACAGCAACAGAAATTCAGAACATCCAGATAGGCGACGGGGACGTGCGGCGCGGCCGCGACGTGCCGCTGTATATGGTGCTGCCGCGACTGTTCACCTGCCCCACCACCACTACTGTCAACTTCAAAATCGGTATATATCTGCTAACATTCAATGCAAGAGTAGACTGTTAGGGTGCGTCTATAAGCTATGTTACACCAAATTCAGTAATTTTAGCATATGATGATAATGATATAGTGTACCCGTGTGTTCTAACGGTTTGCGTCGTGTCAATCGTCATCGTGACAAATTCGCCGACATGGTATATTTTAGTTTTTAGAGGATGATAATGGAATGGTGCCTGCGCTAACGGTTTACGCTGGCGGGGCACCAGTGGAGGATGATAAGATGAGCATGAGGTCAGGTCAGTTAGCCCATCATGACAAATTCATCAGAAATTTATCACGATGGTTTCCAGGGGGAACCGCGTGGAGGTTAACCTGACATGGTACATAGCTAGTAATGGGTTATGAGTCCACATTACTAACAATCCTCTTTTCCCCCTTTCTAGTAAAAATACTAAGTGTTTATATTAGTTGCCTAGTACTCATAACCAAACACTACTTAGCTTACGACTAAATGACGCTATATGTATAGTCCTTGCTATATTTTTACCCGCCATGTTTTGAGCAGTATCTACCTAAAGGACTTCAAACAAACTTTTGTATTATATTTATTTTTTCTCCTATATACTTTAATAGTTTTTTTTCATTCCAGAATTTGAATTAAATATTGCTGTGATATTCGAAGATGACTACTTGGTGACAGAAAATTTTCCAATTCTCTTATTACGAAGCAGATAAAAAATATAAATGTTTTAAGTAGGATATAAATTTAATATAAAACATGTAATGATTGCTATTTAAATATATAAAATTATGCGTGATACAATGTTTTTCCAATACAAATTGTATATAATTAATAAGTTAAGTATTATAAATTGTTTACAAAATATTAGACTTTTTTTTCATCTTTACTATTACCCCTATAGGTGTGGGTTACTATTCTGTCTAATAATAATCCATACCATGTTCTCTTAATATCTCATTTGCCTCTACGCAGCCATGGATCACAATGTGCATTAAGGCATTGTCAAAATTGGCTGTCTAATCTGCGTCTCTGCATAGGCTTACAATTTAGTAACTAAATCTCAAAAGTTATATACCAATGTATTTGAAATCTAAAAGGTCATTAATATCTGCTCGTTTTTAGGATGAGTTTGTTTTCCGAAAGAGCTGGAAAGGTAAATCAAAAATATATGACTGTTCAATAGTGCTTATAAGTTCATTTGAATAAACCTTATTACTGATCAGCTGAATCCGAATTGTGCGTAAACGAGATAAAAGACAACAGTAGTAGAGTAAGTATCAAAGATATTTAAAATAAATTACAGAGTAACTCTGTTAATCTGTATTCAGACATTCAAATGTTGACATTGACACTTGACATTTACTCAAATATAATGTTCTTATGTTTCTGTTGATAAACAAAACTAAAATAAATTATAATTATAGTAATAATTATTCATCGTCTCAGTTGTGATTAAAATGTATTTCACCAGTTCATAAGTATTTATTAATTGCTTCAAAATTATTGTGCGCGATGTACCATTTTCAAAATCACCCATATTTTCAAGATCATGCATACCACAATAACCAAGCTCAACATTGCCCAAGTTTCCAGGAAGATAAACCTCAAAATTGTTCATCTTCCATACACAATAATGTATATACAGTTTTGGAGAATGTACCTACTTCGCAAGATTGTGACAATAAAATGAAAACTCTGGAAATGACTAAAGAGAAACCAAATAAACTGAGCCCCAAGAAATCGGCAGTGGATACTTCTAATTTTACTGTAGAAGAACGGTTAGTTGCGGCCGTTTGGGTACATGAGAGGAAACGTTCGAAAACTACCTTGGGACATGTACGTTTTATGTTAAAAAATATTTGACCTGTGTTGCTTGTAGTACTGATTTTTTGTACGAATTGAATTTTTAAAATTTATAAATGAAAATCTAGTTGTTTCTTTAACATCCGAGACTAAATAATGTGTTGTAAGACACATTATTTAGTCACTGTCTGGACATAAAGTATAATTGAGTTGACAACATCTATAATCTCCTTGTTACAAAAGATATTTTTGTTTTATCACTCTGTTGTTTACTTTTTGTTCAATATTTTTACAAAATATTTTGCTATATGTGTAGATAAAAAAGGAGTTCCGTCAGAGGTTTGGCCGTGAACCACCAGCAAAGAACACACTGCTGGCATGGGAACGCAAGCTGTTTTCATTGGGTAGTGTGCATGATGCACCCAGACCTGGCCGCCCTATAAATCGGTATGTAATTAATTCATCAGTGCATATGTTATTAGGTGTGATGTAAGAAGTTGATAACATAAGATGGGGGCATCTTCCTGTCTTGCTCCATCAGCCATCATTTATTTATATACTCTTTATTGTACAAGATAAACCACATGAATCAAAATCAACAGAGTAATAGGGTACAAAGGTGGCCTTATCACTTATACAAGCTCTTCCATACAACCTTTGGGTAGAGGAGAAAAGACAAAAGGTGGTAGGTGGTGCTAGAATAGAATGGTAAAAAAATCATAATATTAATACTGGCAATACCATTACAAATCATTATTACAACTATGTAATACTATGTATTACAGATAGACAGTGACAGCAACTTTGTTTTATACTAATAAAATCTGTCCCCATGTATGCTTAAATCTTTAAAATTACGCAACGGATTTTGAAGCAGTATTTTTATAGCTATTCATTCAAGATGAAGGTTTATATGTATAATACACATGTACAACCGGGCGAAGACGGGGCGAGTAGCTAGTTAATAATAATGAACAACATAACATATTACATACAACTGAATCTGTACTGAAACAACTCAAAGTATATACAGTGGAGAAATGAAATTCAGTTTTAAGAGAAAATCTGTTGAAAAGAATTCATTCCCTTAGACAAATATACAGCCAATATAATATTTCATTATAATATTTTCAGTCGAATTAAAGTTGAGGAGGTGGCAGCGTCAATACGATCGGCGCCGTCGCTGTCGCTGCGGGAGCGCGCAGTGGCGCTGAGACTGTCTCGTACCACACTGCACACCATCCTTCACAAGGACTTACAGCATCTCCCCAGGAGTAAAGAGGATCCAGTCAAATCTAAGGGCACAGGTATGCATATTTAATCTATGCATTTCAAGATTATAGAAATTGTTATATATATAGATGTGGGTACTATTTTTATACTTTGTTTATTAATAAAGTGTATAGGTATATAGATAGGTTCAATATGTTACTACCCGCCAGAAACTAAACTACCATCCTGATCATCTGGATGTATGGCAGTCCTCCACAGTGTGGTTTTCTAGAAACTTTTTGCCACGCACATCCACATTGTGGAATCACCCTCCAGCAATGGTATTTCCGAACCGATTCAATATTGAAACCTTCAATAAAAAAGCTTATTCCTTTTTAAATGGCCAACAACGTCCCTGCAATTACCCTGGTGTTGCGGTTGCTCATGGGCGGCGGTAATCACTTACCATCAGGTGAGCCGCATGCCCGTTTGTCTTATAAAAAAAAGCATGTTGCTTGTATCAATTTATGTCAAGAACATGGATTTTCGTCTTGTCCATGTTTCATGTCTGTATTATGTGAAATTGAATTTTGACCTTTGCAAATCAAAATCTACATCCAGAAAATATATTGTTTACGAACAACTATGGCAGAGCTAGCTCGAGTTATCTATTAATAGATACAGGACGTGCTCTGTGTCCGGAAACTAGCGATAGCGGGCTGGCAACCGAACAGTGCGTTCCGAGAGATTGCTATCCCCTATACAACTTCATTCAATAACCGGTCAACATACAGTTAACACCAGTCTGGAAGGATTTTTCACACATTTTGTACGTTTACAGGAAAACAAATAAAAAAGAGAAGACCAAGAGCAGAAAACATGAAAAAGCAAACTGCTACGGTGCAGTATGAAAACGCGCCATTTTTACAATCGGCTGTGATCTGTGGAGCGCCATCAACGCACCTGCTCACCGCCCACGGATTCTCATAAATATTAGGAATTTAGTAGAGATGAAACGGATAGCATTTAGCCGGATATCGGATATTCGGCCAACTATGTGACCTAATAGCCGAATATCCGGCCGCTGGATATCCGGCGGAACTTAGCAAACTAATTAATTCATTTTCTTTCTATTACAGTTTACTATTGTGTGATGAAAAGATTAAAACTAATTTTATTACAGAATAAAAATTAATATTTAATACTAAATAAAAAATAATTACTTATATTTTTTTTATCCAGATTATATTTTTAATTCGCCGGGTCTATTCGGCTGAATAGTAGTTATCCGGCCGAATACGGAATAGTTACCGGATATCCGATTCATCTCTAGAATTTAGTTGTAAATTTATTAAGGTTAAAGATTTAATTTAAGACTTTATTTATTAAGGTTGATCAATGTACATATATATAAAAGTATGTCCTACTATTTAGAATAAATTTAATTTATGAAGTGAATTCCTTTTTGAATACGAATTTTATTATTTAACTACGCAATATTGTATCCCGGTAGTTTAGCATATCGCCTTATTACCAATGGTCGCAGGTTGGACGCATACATTTGCATTAATGAATATGATTATTTGTATTGGTAGAAAGCACTCCTTTTTAATTTTTGTTTACTACCATGATTTATACCCTCAAGGTCGAGTTCTGACCCTTCTGTTCTGTTCTGAAGTCTGACCCATAATAAACTGTCAATTTATATTTCTGTATGATTATCTGGTGAAAATTTCTTCTTAACCGTTAGTCAACCAATTTTTGAAAGCTGTATCATTACAAGAACGAACTTGTAATTTGCTCTTTTCAATTTTAACTTTCCTTGAATTAAAATGTGAGAATAGAAACTACAAATTAGCACTAATTCATTAAGATTAAACCAGTCGTATTCATTAGAGCAGTCCCACTCGTTCATGCGTATGACGTATGAGCCAGCCATCACTGCGCTTGTATATATTTTAGGTAGGGAAGTGACCGGGACCACCACGTCGCCACATGTCTAAACATTTTAGTGACTATTCGTCATATTCGTGACCGGGTACTGCTTGTGGGGACTGGTCTGTTAGGGTTACGAACACTGATTAGACTATTTGCTTTTGCAATAGCATATGCCGGTGGTCACTCTATTCTCCCAAATTTGAATTTAAAAATGAATCTGTGTTATTGTAAACATGTATAATATTTATTTGAAAAGAATATGAGTAGTTTCGTGTCAGTTCTCGTCTCGAAATCATTCCGAACTGACGGTAGATTCGATATATCATAAATCTGTAATAGACCTACATGAATAAAGATGATTTAAATTTGAGTATTGGTCACTATAATGTGATAAATATAAGGGTGTGAATAACTGCAACGACGACAGTAACAATAGACTTTATTTTCTTAATTTAAAGGTTAGGTAACACCAATGGCATACATATAGTAATACCTTTTTTTTTTATTAATGTGTTTTACGGCTCTGGATACAAGTCCTTTTTACCCCAACTTAAAATTTTACAATATAAATATTTACTATTTACAGATAATGTCACGGTCATTTGTTTTGACAAATTACGAACCCAAATGATTTCAGTATATAATCGTGACTATATAAATATCGTTATAAACATAATGTATGTACAAGTCATTATTTATTACCGATAAAAATTCTACGTAAATAACATTGACTGTAAATTCGGTTTAAGACGGGTACACACCTAAACGCCTCGGACTCATCATATGCGTCATATGGAGCGCAAACAGCCTCCTAAACACCATAACAAATATGTTGTATTGTCCGCTTTAGAAACACTGGACATCAGGGCACTGCTGCGGACCCAGTGCTTCTGGACGTGGACAGATACATGAATTCAAAGGATATAAATGTAATTAACTAACACAATATGGATGGATATCCATTAAATGAATAAATTAAAAAAATATATATTAGGAACCTATTTTTTATAATAATAATATAATATCTCAGGACAATTCACACAGCGCTCTCTATGGTCCCAGGATAAGCATAACTTGTGTTATGGTTAGTTACTAGATAACTGATATAAATATATTTTTTTGTAAACCTTTAAAATAGGGAGAGCGCAATAGGTCTATGCAGGTCGCAGTGCTACATGTCCAAGCACCAGACACAAACGCCTCAATAAAACAAATATGTTACTGTAATGTTTCATCAGAAGCCGTTTGTAGTTTTTGCGTGAAAGAGTAACAAACATCTATATTTACAAATTTTCGCATTTATAATATTAGTAAAAATATGCAAAATGCATAGTAATAATAAGTAGTCAAGATCCAACCTGTGGACTATAGTTTAGGTGTGCCTACGCCTTTAATATACACTCATTTATATTGCAAACCCTTTTAAATTTGTGCAACGAAACATTTTGCTACTTACAACAAAAAATTTAATAGATTGAAAATATTTGCACCATAAAAATAGATTAGTAAACTCGATACAAAGTTATCGACAAAATTTTTAGTTTGTATATTTATTTCTACTAAAATGAACCATAACAAAGTATCAAATGATTTAATATAGCAACAGATATTCAAAAGTCAAAACATTTATTCACATTTGTGTGTCACATTATAATTTATTATTTTAATTATTAATCCTCTGGTAATTTTTAATAATTAACACCGTTCTTACATATTTCCTTTTGGTGATCAGTATTATTATTAAAAAGGATATAGAATTAAAAATTAAACATCTAATATATACTTAACATATAAACTTATAAATTAAAACAATCCTCGAAATTTAGCTACTTATATATTACAGGCTTCACCATAATTTCCTAAGTTCCCGCTCTGCAATATTCATTGAGGTGAGCAAATTGCAACTAAGTTACTTGCTAAACATAACCTAATATACAATGATGACTTTTGATGATGATTCACTGACTATATTATACAGGTTGTAATATAGTCAGACTATATTATACAATGTTAGTATTAAAATGTTTACCAAGCCAAAAGTCATTGACACTACTCATTAAACGAAACAAATTTCCTCATGAAATCAAGTGGAAAACGATATAATATTAAAAACTTATATAAAAAGTGATTGATTCAGAAAAAAACATGATTAGTTTCTTGGTAATAGTGGTTCAATTTCTCAAGTATACTAACTTTTGGCTAAGAGTAATGTGTATACCATTACAACTAAATCATAGCAGTATAGTACTTGTACAACAAGTTATATATGCGGAATGTTCCAAAGGTAAGGTAACTTCAAAATTCGCAGGTTATGTACATTCAAATTTTGTTTTTTTTATTTTGTTGTGTTGGTACACTCGTCATGACCATATAATCACAGTTTCAACTATAGCATTCCTTGTTATTTTGTGAAAGAAATTATTTTTTTGTCAATTTTTATCTCTTTCTAAAATGAACCCATGAAAGGTCATCGATTTCAACGATTTAAGAGATAAAAAATTGCATCGCTGAATGAACTCAAGGCTGTAGCACAAAATGATTGTTCGAAGTGCTTCGAGGATTGGTAAAAGCGTTGGTACAAGTGTATTATATCTGAGAGGGATTATTTTGAAGGGGACAAAATTATTATATATACATATTTTTTGAGAAAAACAAAGTCACCTTACCTTTTGAACAACCCTGGAATACTGTCAGAATATCTGTAGGTACATACATTCAAATTGACAACATATTTCTAATATATCTCGAGACTTCACTCAGCGCCATCTAGTCCCATACAACGAGGAACTCAAAAACTACACCTGCTAAACAAACAACAAATAGATCTAATTTTTTTAATAAATATGTAATACTACGAAACTAACGCAGATGTAAAAAATATTACAAACATTTGTAATGCGTAGAGATCAAACCCGCAGTCTGTCTTCTCAATAGTGTATGGCAGGGGTGGCCAACAGGTCGATCGTGGCAAGGCAAAAAATATAAATTGCAGACTGCGCAACATAATCGTAAAAAAAGTTGGCAATTTCCAACTACAACCCTGATTATGCTAAACTAGTGGATGCTCAGATGCAACTCACACTAGTATAAAGGCAAATAAGTATTTAGTTACTAAGAATAATTTCCACATTTATGTTTTCTCTCTTAATAAAATAAAATAATACACGATTGTGTACTGAACTGTGCGGTTTCATTTAAGATTTCAATAAGTATGTAATTGGTAAATCGCACAGGGTTTCAATGGTAAACAGATCCTGGGTCTAATCAAGTTGGCCACCCCTGGCGTATAGAACATCTCCGATAGTTCGATATACTATCATCTCGTCGTATCATTCAGTGACACTGTTACCTGCAGTATCCGGCTACAAATATTCATATAAAATTTATATAAAAGTTGTATTCCGTTATCGAACGTAACGTAACTAAACGCGTAATATATTAACTTAACACGTTAAAGACCGCATGCCCACCGGTGGGTCACTCCGCAACGAATTTTTTTTTCGCTCTACTCTAATGCTGTTGGCCGCAGCTGGCCTTTACAGCCTCACCGGACGTTAGGGGGCGAGTGCAGATGCCACTCCAAACCAAAGGAAGGACTTATGGAGCGGCTGAAGGCCAACTCCTGCTTGACGGGTACGATTTTAGTCTGAGAGCACCGCTAGGGGTTCGAACCTCGGTTCAGGCCGTCGTAATTTCGATCCCCGTTTGAATTGGACAGGGGATCGATCGGAGGGGTCACAACGAATGTAAATTTACACGTTGGGACTGGTTGATCACCCATCACTCAAACTATCTCAAATTATTGTACACTAAAAACATATTTATAAAATAATATACGTAATTGACAATAAAAAAAATGGCGGTCCCTATGTGAGAAATAAGATTGTTCAATGCGGTCTTCGACGTGTTAAATATGAAAATGAGAATGTAGTGGTCTTGTCCTTCGCCTTATAACAGGTAGAGAACGGGCTATCGCTGCTGGAGTTGCGGTTGAAACTTTGCTAACGAAACCCTGAGGTAGGCTCCGAGATCTCGGTGGTGGTATGGTGATGGTAACAGCAGCAGTTGTCGCCCGGGCGGCAGCGGCGGTGGTGGTGTATGTGGGCGGCAGTTGTCGCCCGGGCGGCAGCGGCGGTGGTGGTGTATGTGGAGCGGTGAGGTCGGGCCGCAGTTCAGTCGGGCAGCAGCAGTTGTCGCCCGGGCGGCAGCGGCGGTGGTGGTGTATGTGGAGCGGTGAGGTCGGGCCGCAGTTCAGTCGGGCAGCAGCAGTTGTCGCCCGGGCGGCAGCGGCGGTGGTGGTGTATGTGGAGCGGTGAGGTCGGGCCGCAGTTCAGTCGGGCAGCAGCAGTTGTCGCCCGGGCGGCAGCGGCGGTGGTGGTGTATGTGGAGCGGTGAGGTCGGGCCGCAGTTCAGTCGGGCAGCAGCAGTTGTCGCCCGGGCGGCAGCGGCGGTGGTGGTGTATGTGGAGCGGTGAGGTCGGGCCGCAGTTCAGTCGGGCAGCAGCAGTTGTCGCCCGGGCGGCAGCGGCGGTGTATAAGAGCGGTCCCGGTCGTCGTGTGCGCGCGGCTGCACATAGTTGCGACACAGACCGTAGAACCGTTGCGGCCTCAAGTTGCGCTTCTGGGCGTCGAACCTGCACCCCGGATGCAAACATTGATAGAATTATATATTGTCACATGAAATTCAAAATTCAAAATATCTTTATTCATGTAGATTTATTACAGACTCTTATGATATGTCAAATCTACCGTCAGTTCGGAATGATTTCGAGATGAGAAGAACTGACAAGAAACTCATGACATTCAGATACTAAAAAAAATATGGACATGTTCAGTTTTGCTAAACGCATTATGTTGTTAACACCTCTAACTCGCCATCGAGAATTAACTATCCTAAAAATACTGTTCCTTTTTTATAAAACATATCTAACACAAAATTAAATTCAAAGGTAATTGAGATGAAGTATTTAGAATAAGATATTAATGTGCAAGTGTCGGTGAGGGCGAGGGTGTGATGAGCGACCTCCATCCGACGTGCGCCATGCAGCCGAGGCAGAGCGCCACGGTCCAGGTGTACCCGGGGAACCACGAGTACTCGGCCGACGGCGAGCCCGACAGCTCCGTGTTGGTGGCAGCAGACACCGTCACGATGTCGTGCATGTACCCGCCTGCACACACACCACACCCGCATTACTATATAACAAACCCGCCTGCACACACACCACACCCGCATTACTATATAACAAACCCGCCTGCACACACACCACACCCGCATTACTATATAACAAACCCGCCTGCACACACACCACACCCATCTTACTCTATCTCACACTGAACTACACAGCTTTTAAAACAATTTTACTAATTGAGAATCACAGCTTACTGAAGAAATTTAAAAATCTGTCTAATATTATTTTTCTATTATTTATTCATTACAACCAACCAACTAATGAAACGTTTCGTCTTCATTAATATTAAGAATAATAATCACACAAGCTATAATCTCCCTGAACTATGGAAACTAAAACCTATATGTATACACATTATAGCAGATATCAGAGAGGTAATAATATATATAATAACCACAGATAACATAATAACAACGAACAGCCAAAATGTTCTGTATGGCTAAATGACTTTTTAATTTGAATATTACAGGGTTTTCTCTTTTTTTTAATGCAGAAAATATAAAAATAATACTGAACTATCCAATATTTGATATATAATTAGTTAATTATATATTTTTTAAATTTATTTAATCGTTAATAATTTACATTTAGGTTTGAAATTATACAATTCTTGCTGCTAACTCTGCTGAGACTTTACAAATAACATATATATAAAAAGGAATAATAGAAATAATAAGAAATAAAAATCTATCCATGTAACAGCCTCACTGAATTTATAGTAAAACGATAAAATAGCAGTGCTTACCTAAATTCGTGTAATTGGAGTGTACACCCTCACTGGACATGGCAAATATGTTCTCCCGCCGCGCGATCTCCCCCATACAGGAAGAACAGCACAGCACGCTTTTCTATTGTAAAATAATGATATTAATATTTATTTATTGATAGAAAACAACACAATCATACATTTGCATGCATACACTGTTTACTAAAGAAAACAAAAAAAAAACTTATTAAACTACATAGAATTTCAGGTAAATAAAATAACTCAAACAGTAAAATATCAAGAGCACATATTCTAAGCAAAAGGAACTAACTCAGCAGGTGCTGTAAAGTTTAATATATATTTGCACAGCAATCTCTCATTGAAAACAATTGCTACCAATGCAAGCTGCTTATAATAATAATGTATATTTATGTATATCATATAAATTACATTAACACAACATTAAGTAAAGTAATAGAAATAAATATAATAACTAAACTAAATGCAGAAAATTTAGTAACTCAATGAGGACCCTGATAACCTGAACTTTTTTTCGAACTACTCTAATGCTGTTGGCCGCAGCTGGCCTTTACAGCTTCACAGGATGATAGTGGACGAGTGCATATGGCACTCCAAACCAAAGGAAGGACTTGTGGAGCGGCTGAAGGACAACTTCCGCCTGACGGGTACGACTTTTGTCTGAGGGCACCGCTAGGGGTTCGAACTTCGGCTCAGGTTGTCGTAAGTTCGATCCCCGTTTAAATTGGACGGGGGATCGGTCGGAGGGGGGCAGGTATCAATGCTTTGTAACATGTACTGCAAACATCTTATTAAACAGTCCAAGGAATGTATTAATAAGGTTATAAGCAAAGATGTGATTTTTAAAAATAATAGAATTTGAATGAAAATGAAAATTACTTATTAACATTTTTGTATTGTTTACATTATTAACCGGGTCTTAACACGAATAATTTTATGGCAAATAAATAAAACAAATTAAACACGAAAATTAAAAAAATAACTGTTTTTGTATTGTATTTAAATACTTTAGAAAAACGTTTTATATTTTACTAGCTTTTTCTCGCGGCTTCGCTCTCGTTAATTTATCCCCTTATGGGTGGAATTTATCAAAATCCTTTCTTAGGGGATGCCTACGTCATAGTAGCTTTATGTACGCAGTCTCAGTCCAATCGGTTTAAAATTGACAAAGTTTCATACAAACTTTCATCCCCTTGGGGGTAGAATTTATCAAAATCGTTTCTTAGCGGATGCCTACGTCATAACATCTACCTGCATGCCAAATTTCAGCTCAATCCGTCGAGTGGTTTGGGCTGTGCTTTGATAGATCACTATGTCAGTCACCTTTGAGTTATATATATTTAGATTTGAAATGCTTTAAATCTCTAATCAGAGATTTATGGTAGCACACACAACAAAATCAGACGCTGCAATAATAAGGAAAGAATAAAAAAATGCAAAAATTATAAATGTAGAAGAAAATATGTGGCGTTGGCTTAAAAATAAAACTGAGGCTTGAAAACCGAATAAAATGTATCTATGCATATATAAAAAGAAATATATATAGACAGTATGAAACATATTTCTGTTAGATAAAGCACGTAATAATGTAAGAATATGAATAATACTTGCCACTCGCCCTTGCTTCGCACGGGTGAATGTTTGTGACAAAATGCGATGCATGGTTTAGATGAAGTAAGCGGATAAACAGACATATGTAAACATCGACTTTATATACCATTAGACATAATATTTTGGAAGGAAATAACATAGCACTTCAAAACTATATATATTATTAAATAGCTGTTCCCGCGACTTCGTCCGCGTGGAATTTAACTTAAATTTTCTAAAATAAAAGTATCCTTAATTTCTCCTTACTACCTTATTACTTCAGCTATCTACCAAGAAAACTCAAAATCGGTCCAGCCATTCGAGAGATTAGCCGGAACTAACAGACAAAAGTTGTAAAAAATGTTATTTTGCTGTATGTACCCTATGCATGTACTAAAAACGGTTATTTCAATATTACAAACAGACTCCAATTTTATTTATATGTATAGATGATAACTGATAAGTTTCGTTTGCCTTAACTGATTTTGATGAAATTTTATATGTATACTGTGTAGGTATAACAATAAGTAGCTATATATTTTTTACACCCCTATATGATAAGGGTGGAAAACCCAAAAAATGTTGTCATCTTTTTTGTGACTTGCTCTTTTTATATGTGTACTCTGTAGTTCTGACAATAAATTGTTATCTAAGAGTGGAAAACCCCAAAATTTTGTCACATTTTCATAACTCGGTATTAAAAAATACATATAACCGTAAATTTCCACCCTACCATCAACCCCCATTTATATTAATTTACATGACAAAATAACGTTTGCCGATACGGCTAGTTATAGTCTGTTTTTTAATCCCAGAGACTAAATTGACAGATTTAAATGTCAAACTTTCAAATAATTATAGAATACATTTCTGAATAGTCAGCAATTTTTTTTTAAATCTCTGTAATTAAAAACAAGAACGGACTATATGTAAAATAAAACTAGAATTATCGAAAGAAAGGGGCTAATCCCCTAGGCCTCTTCTCTTGACAATTCTAGGGGGAGGGGTGGTGGGGGAGACGAGGGTGGGTGAGACTGACCCTGCTGATGAGCTTGACCTCCATGTGTAGCCGCAGCAGCGCGTTGTCGACCACGAACAGCGCCAGCCGGTCCCGCGCCGACAGCGTCAGGTTGGACGCCACCCAGAACGACAGCGACACGGGGTCCTCCGGCAGCTTGTCTGAGGACAATTAAAGGAGACAATTCTAAAATGAACTTAAGTATTTTAGAAAGATAGCAGTTTGTTGGAAATCCTTTCGCATTATTTTACTTATATATTTAAGTATAAATATATATTTTTTTAATAATATAATCCAGGACAATTCACACAGTGACCAAGTCCCAAGTTAAGCTAAGCTTGTGTTATGGATACTAGACAACTGATATAATTAGATACTTTTTTGTGAATACATAAATATTAAAAATCGGTAAATCAACTACTGACGCTGGTGTAGCTTTAATGAAACACATTTTTGACTGTTGGGAGAGGTCACAGGATGCTATCGGTGTATTCTGTGACCTCTCAAAAGCATTTGATTGCGTTGATCATGAAACACTCTTACTCAAATTAGAACATTACGGTATTAGATATGAAGCACTATGCATGATGAAATCCTATCTAAATAATAGAATGCAAGTTGTTGAAATAAATGGTGTAAAGTCTGAGGGAACTAGTATTAAAATGGGTGTTCCTCAGGGCTCTATTCTAGGTCCTTTCTTATTTTTAGTTTACATAAACGATCTTCCTTATATGGTAGAAAAGATAGCTGACATAGTTCTGTTTGCTGATGATACTTCATTAGTATTCAAAGTCAATCGACATATTGATGATATGGACGAAGTAAACGGTTCTCTCTCTTATGCTTTAAAATGGTTTACGGCAAATAATATGCTACTAAATGCAAATAAAACTAAATGTATCAAATTTACTCTCCCCAATGTAAGGCCGGTAGATTCAAAAATCGTATTGGACAATAAATCTATTAATTTTGTTGACGATACTGTATTTCTAGGTATCACATTAGATTCCAAGTTGCAATGGGGTGCTCATATTACTAAATTGGCGAGTCGACTTAGTTCTGCCGCTTACGCGGTAAGAAGAATTAGACAATTAACAGACGTGGCAACGGCTAAACTTGTCTATTTTAGCTATTTCCATAGCATTATGTCGTATGGTATTTTGTTATGGGGCAAAGCAGCTGATATAAATACAATATTTACTTTACAAAAGAGGGCCATTCGCTCCATTTATGGTATGGGTTCCAGGGAGTCATTGCGAGAGTGTTTTAAGGAATCAAATATCCTCACCGTTGCTTCTCAATACATTTATGAAAATATCATCTATGCCAGAAGGAATATAGACAGTTTCAAAAGAGTTAGTGATTGCACTAATAAAAGCTTACGTAACAATAACAAACTGATTTTACCTAAATGTCGTTTGGCTAAAGTTAGTAATTCGTTTTATGGCAATTGCGTAAGGTTTTACAATAAAATACCAGAGTCTGTTATAAATCTGCCAGAAAAAAGATTTAAATGTCAAATAAAACAGTTCCTTTGCAAAAAAGCTTACTATAAAATTGAAGAATTCGTTAACGATAATAATGTTTTTATAGAAAAACTTTAAATCTATAGCACTGACAATATTATCTGATTACATTAATAATGAGTGCGTAGCGACTTCTATGTTGATTATCGCATGCCTCTTACTTGTTATACTGTAATTATTTATATAAAAAAAAAACATCTATTAAAAAGAGCAACACACAAGTTTCTTGCTCATTCTTCTTGTGATGAATCTGCATTCCGAATGAGTGGTAGAATCAAAATATGACTATTCAAAAGTGCTTGTAATGAGTTTATTTGAATAAAGATTATTTCTATTTCTATTTCTATTTCTATTACACATAAAAAAACCCAAACTAATACAAACAATCATACTCATGAATACAAATGCTTGCACCGTGCGAAGGAATCGAACCCGCGAGCCATTGGCAAATCGTTGTGCTAAACCTTTAAACTACCGAAGCCATCATACCGTATATCGTATTTCTATTATAGTTTATATATACATGGTTACATATATATATAATATGGTTGATATAAATCTACTTATTTCTAGCCAACATTCAATATGTTACTACCCTAAATCCTACTCCTATTTTTATCCACCAAATCTGGGGGTAGCATCAACAAAATGAGTCGTTCGTAGTACGTCGCGTCGAGCACACGCAAATCAGCATATTCTCCGCAAATCAACGTAAACGAAACCATCAGCCGCGATCTTCGCGCAATCATCTGTTTAGTACATCATCCAGTGAAATTCATCGTAGTGTTGTGCGTTTTTAAAGTGAAACGGCTACGCGTATAATAAGACCTACACGCGGGGACGACACGAACCAGGTTGGTCCTTAGTTTCCCTTTTTTACCTAACAATATATATATAGCTTTTTATTTCTACTTAAAGGCTAGCTGGTAGAGAATGCTGTATGGCATTAAGCTCGCCCTTTGTATAAGAAATCGTGGACTCACCGAACATGATAGTTTTGAAGTATTCCTCGATGATCTGCCGCATGCGGCGATAGTCGAAGATGTCGTAAAGGAACAGCGGCCACGGCGTCACCACCGCGTCCATGCTGCGCATGCGGCTGTCCAGCCTGCGGACCAAGCACTCACTATACCCCCTGCGATCGATCTCCCGTGAAATTCAAACGGGGATCGAAATTACGACGACTTGAGCCGAGGTCGAGCCTGTAGCGGTGCCCTCAGACTAAAGTCGCATCCATTAGGCGGGAGTTTGTTTTCAACCGCATAAGTTCTTCCTTTGGTTTGGAGTGCCATTTGCACTCGCCCCCGGTAAAGCTGTAAAGGCCAGCTGCGGCCAACAGCATTAGAGTAGTCCGGACTAAAAACTCACTATACCTAATTAAATTATTTTTAAATAAGTATATTAAATTAGCCTAAGTTTTTCCTTATAACATTAGGTATCTGCGAGTGAAAGTATCGTCAAAATCAGTGCAGCGTTTTAGAGATTAGTAAGAATAAATAGACAGACAGTTAAAAAAAAATATATATTTAGCATAAATATGTACTTTTATACACATTTAGTGAAGCTGCAAATTTGAAAATACAAACAGACACTTCAATCTTATTATTTGTAAAGATAGATAGATGTAAAGAAAGGGACAGTATAGGGGGTGAGTTAGCTTCGCACCCCGCCGTGCATAGCGCACGGTGGGGTGCGAGGTCGGACATGTATGTTCCAGCATTATTAGGTCTCCTATCGCTGTGAATATGTCCACACGAAACGATGGCTGAGCAATGTTTGGTTCTGATGCGTTCCGGACAGTATGGTAATAATGCCTTCGGTTAACATTAACATAGTGGCAAACAGACGTGAGGGGCAGCGCAGGTAGGAAAAATAGACCCAGATGGGGTCGGTCCCGGGCATCAAGCGGTGCTTTGGTGGCCCGCTCCAGTTGTATCGCAGACACATGCGGAGCGGGCGCGGCTCTGTGTGGACGGTAGGGTCAGGAGATCAAGTCTGCCGTCCACAACGGGAGCCGAGATGGGGGGAGTCGCATCCCGTATTCCGGTGCGTCTCCCACGGAGGGTGGAAACGGGAAACTGAGAAGAGTTAAGAAAAAAAACGGTACGCACGGCACAGGTCGGGGCGGCGCGGGCGGGGCGGGCGCGGCGGGGGGCGGCGGCGGCAGCAGGCGCGCGTGCCGCAGCGGAGCCCCGGGCTGCACCTCGGGCAGCACGCGCACCTCCACCGACCGCATCCTGACCACCGCACCGCACAACAACACACAATACTACACTACTACACACATTACCTTATCTACACCTACACCCTTTCACGCAGGAAAGACTGCAATTGTGCATGTAAATGTAGATAAAGCGAATGACAAAGACGGCGCTCGCAAACGGTGAGCGCATTGCCGCGTTCTTCGATCGTACGTGTTTTAGAGACTTATTATAATATTAAATTAATATCGCAAAAACATCTCCGAAGCAAAGACATAATTATTCATTCATTCATAAATTTAAGAGCGACGCTCTTGTCGGTGGAGCTCTTGCCACTTTCTACGATCTTCCATCTACTCTTTAAACCTTGATACGACACGACTCCAATTCTGTCCTTCATTTGCTTAATGTAGCTGTACCTTGGTTTTCGCTCTCCCCTCTTTACCTCAATAATAACTTTCATAAATTCATAGTGCCGTATCTATGTTCTAACATTTTTCCGTCTGTTTTCTATAGCATTCAATATCTGCCTACAAATCTTAAACGTGTCTCTGGAAAAAGTCTATGAAATAAAAAGGAAAACTTTAAAAGAAACTGAACTGACTTCAATATCTGCCTACAAATCTTAAACGTGTCTCTGGAAAAAGTCTATGAAATAAAAAGGAAAACTTTAAAAGAAACTGAACTGACTTGATAGCATATGTGCGCTATCACGTGCAAAACAATGATCATAAAAAATAGTAAAATAATAATTGTGAACAATTCACACAGCGCCATCTAGTTCCGAGCCAAGCAGAGTTCGTGTAATTGGTAGTAGAGAACATCAGTAATGAGTAGCATTACCTTTTGTATATGTGTATGGGCACGGAGCGCTTGGGCATCTCCACGAACCGGAACCGGTGGTTGGCGCGCGCCTTGAAGGTGAGCGAGGAGGGCGCGTCCTGGCCCTCCGCCAGCCCCGCCTCGAACACCTCGCACAGCACCCCGTACCCCGACACCATCGTGCCGCTCTCGCTGCATCCACACAACAACGTTACATTAAATTGAATCCCGCCATATGACGCCCTCAGCCGGCTGCTGAAAAGAGCCGGTAGAGATAGCAGTAGTAGAGTAGAGTAGCCGGTAGGAGAACGACGCTGGGGTGGCATGCGCCAGTAGTACGCTCGGGCAAAGAGCATATGCTTGAGGCCCGTACCCTGCTGTCCGCAAGGACCTGCGGACGACCCAGACTGATTGAACGTTACATGACTCTCTCATACGTGAATAAAATTTTAAAATAATCATAATATTTTTATTCGTTTAGGTCTATTACAGACTCATATGATATGTCAAATCTACCGTCAGTTCGGAATGATTTCGAGATGAGAACTGATAAGAAACTCACTTTCAAATAAATATTGTACATGTTTAGAATAATACAGATTCATTTTTAAATTTAAATTTTGGAGAATAGAGTGCTCCACCCTCGTATGCTATTGCAAAAGCAAATAGTCAAATCAGTGTTCGTAACCCGAACAGACCAGTCCCCACAAGCAGCACCCGGTCACGAGTATGACGGATATAGGCTTAAATCATATCGAAAAATCAATCAAATTATCAACATTATTCTTGTAGGTCTATTACAGACTCTTAAGATATGTCAAATCTAACGTCAGTTCGGAGTGCTTTCGAGATGAGAAGACCTGACAAGAAACTCAACTAGCAAACATGTGAAAGAGTGAACAAAACAAAGCTCCTGATCGGGCTTGTAAGAATGTGTCCTGTAAAGATAGCTATTTATACCAATATTATACACAGATTTCACATTTACTACATTTGTTTATAATTTTTCTTCTAATACAGATATTATGTACATGTTAGACACATGTATATAATACACATAATACAATATAACATATAGTATAATAGAGGCACTCAATGTGGGGGTTTATGTCCACAGTTCCGTGATAATGATATTAGTTGATATATTGATTGATTGATTGATTGATGAGGGGTTTTTGCTAAATAGAACCGCCCCAGTTGAATGCTACTCGAACACTGATTTTTATTACTAAAATAAATATATTGAGGTGAAATTGCATGTGTAGGCAATTGTGTCAGTACACAATACACAGTAAGCAGGCATGTGCGGCTGCCCGTACATCCTGCCGCCACACGAAATGAGAGAATGCATGTGAAGTAAAATGCTGATTGATATGAATAATACAACAATGCTCTGATGGGGTATGTAACACAAGGTGATCAACAATTTCTTACAATCTATTTAATATTTAAATGGTACAAGTTAATGATGATAACAAGATGATAAACTATGCACTACTATTCTCGTGTCACAGTTTTCGTTCCCATACTCCTCCGAAACGGCTTGATCGATTCTCATGAAATTTTGTGAGTGTATTGAGTAGGTCTGAGAATCGGCCAACATCTATTTTTCATTCCCCTAAATGTTAGGGGTAGTCCACCCCTAAATTTTTTATTTTATTTTAAGGCAAAACAACGTTTGCCGGGACAGCTAGTAGTATATAGTGTATTGATTGTATGAATGATTCAAATTTTTGATGTGTTTGAACAATATTCATAATATCTTGTTGGCTGGTGAGTTTAAATTGCGTTGTTGTTTATTTTGCTTTTCAGTTTGTGTTTCCTTATGTGCCAAGCATCATTCTATAAGACAAATATAGCTTATCATCCACATTTATACTCTTGTCGCATGCCATTTACTTTAGTTTGCCGTGAAATATATAGATGCAAAACTTTAAACTTTTGAGAGATGCACAGCTTTTAAAAAATCATATAAGCAATAATAATATATGTTTTTAAATTCGCAAGAATTTCTATAAATTCCATAAGCTTTTAATATCATAATTGGATAAAATTGGTTTTTATTATGATGTAGGAAATGCATGTCAGCCCACTGCTGATGGATGCGTATTGTAGTACTAGAGGCATGCATGTTATTGAGTCGGGTGACATGACAAATAATGAGACTACCACTCCACTTTATTCTGCCCTACTGTTTCGGCTAATCTCTGAAATGGCTGAGCCGATTTTGACGGGACTTTTTAGCAGGTAGCTGATGTAATAAAGAGTAACTTAGGCTACTTTTATTTTAGAAAAATAAAGTTAAATTCCATGTGGATGAAGTCACGGGTACAGTTAGTAATAAATAAACAAAATCAACTCTAATTTTACTATATATACTGTATAAAGGCTACCACAACCATCGAACACTTACTCAGGACAGAGCAGACCAAACAGCTTGTCGTTCTTAATGGCGCGCGCGAGCACGGCGGCGTCGTGCGCGTGCGGCAGCAGCATCGGCACGGTCTCCCCGGGGAACACCGCCCCGTGGTGCGCCAGCACCGGCACCCGACCCTCCCACCCCGCCTCCAGCACGCAGCGCCCGCCCACAGCCACCAGCCCCGCGCCCATATACTGCGCACCACCACATCTCACTTCAGCTTACTGTTTCTATATCATTACATTTCTTACCCATTTACTATTATTCTACAATGCACACTACACTGTGTGCGTGCACTGTAGCATGGCACAGGTGACAGTTACTAATTTTACATTTAACACTTACTACATTTAAGTTAATACAGTTATTAATGATTTCATATATTACAAATATGGTACAGCGGAAATACTAAGTTATAATTTGTAAAATTTGTCAACTTTCAAGACTGAAACAAAATGTTAATGCTACTGAGCATATAGTGTAGAAACATAACTAAATCCACTCCACAATATATTTAGTCCAATTGTTGAAATAAAATAAAATAAAATTTATTGATTAAATGTGGTTTTACAAAGATGGTTTAACATAATATATATTAGTACTGTGCATTGTCATACATTCCTGTGCACTGTCATTCCTGACATGCAATAAACAAGTTGTGTCATTTATCAGTTATATTTATATACATAAAATAACTAAAATTTCTAAATTTAGAATCAACATGTTCTCAATATATTTATTTTCATAAAGTTAGTCAATATAGTCAATCAAATTTGACTCCATGCAATTATTAAATTTAATTATATTCTATTATGTATCTGCCTAGTATAGATGTACTACCATTATGTTTAACTAAGAACTCAATCTAAATCATAAACACTACTTGAAGGTAAAAATATGCCATAAGCCAATATATTCTAATATAATAATCTTATTCATTCAGTGGTCAATTCTCAAGTTTTACAATAGTGATTAGAAGCAAAGGATAAATCTGAGACTGAGTCAATTCATTTATCTGCAACATGACTCATATATAAAGTTATTCAGACAGTACTCAAAACTATTAGTTATGTTAAATTCAAATTAAAAAATAATTTATTAACATTACATACGAAAGTCAAGTTTTTACATTATAATTTTTTATCCTACCATCCAGTTCGGTATATAGATCCAATTGAGAAGAACTAACAAGAATCTCAATTGTATTACTTTTTTTTTAAACGCCAGTTTATTTACAATATATAGGTATTTAAATAGGTGTCTATGTCTAACATTAAATGAAAATCCCGTGCATGAACAACTATTGCATGCACACTCGTCATTCAAGTAATAGTTTAGTTAGTTAAAGGCTTTACTCAGTAAATAAGATTTAACAGATGTTCTGAATTTATTTAAGGGTAATTCCAATATATTCTTCGGTATTTTTTTATACCTATTATACCTTTTCAGCAATTTATGTATTACTTTGTGAATATTCTAGCATAGATGGACTGCCATGATTAGATAAATACAAGTTGAAGTAAAATTAGTAATAAAACCTAATTGGTTACCGAGTGAGATGCCGCTAGCGATATGTCGAACTGCTGCTCCTCCTCGTCCGTGTCCTCGTCCTCGTCGTTTGGATCTCCCCCGCCGCTATCCGGCTCGTTGTGGTCACCATCATCCGTAGCTAGCAATGCCAACAAAAACATTACGAATTATTTGTTTACAACGTTCTTGTACCTGTTATATATATTTCTTCGAGTTTACAAGTGTAATTAAATGTTTAATATATAATTTAATTGTATTTAAAAAGAAAATAAAATTCAAAAATCATAGCAAAGCAATAATAAATAATGTTTATTCTTTGTGTCAAATCACATTGCCGTATTTACCGTTGTCCTCCATTATTCTCCTAAGTAGTTCTCGGAGGAGCGCAATTTTGAAGATTATAATTTATTTATCTTTTTAGATAATATTCTGGTATTTTGATAAGTATAATAAAAGTTACTGCAATTTCAGAATGCAATTATTGCGTTCTTTTTGTTTTAGTAAGTTTACAGAGCATGCGAAAAAGGTTTCGATTGTAGTATATAATTTAATCGATTTAACAACGGCAAAAAACCTTACTCTTTATATGCATATAATTAAAATTATGGAAATGTTATAATAAACGTTAAATATTTTTTATGTTGCATAGTTATTATTGAATTCATATATTTTTTATTTTTTTTCTAGCGTTTTTATGACTTTTCTACATTATTACACCCTTATATCATAGCATACTTTGTAAAGTCTAGTTATAATGTATAATCTGTGGCAGTCGAAATGTCTGATTTGTGACATTTCCAAGTTTTTGAACGCATAATCACCCTGATCTGTATCCTGTCCTGTGCAGTATGTCATATTAGTCTTCTTGCTCTTCTGAGCTCGAAGAAGAAATGCACGGGTTTTTATAAATTGCTAGATTGTGCTAAAAGAAATGTGATTAAACAGTGTTTCATTATGTACAATTGATCAAAATGTATCGAAAAATAGTGTTGTGTTACATTTTTGTATTGACTTTATTGGATATATCTCTGAAGACCAGACTGACAGCCCAGGGAAAGAGTCATGGTAAAATCGATTGTTAATTTTGTATCAAAATTTTCTATTTTATCCTACGAATTTGATATTTGTTTGACTGATGTTGTAGTCCAATAACGTGAAATAGCAAAAACTAAATTAAAAAATATCATAAGAGTTAAGTTTCATGGGTTAGTGGGTAGTGCGCGGTTCGATGTTATTTTAGATCGGGGCCGAGTTACATTTGTTTGACACTTTTTTTTAAATGATATTTTAGTCTTAGGAAAGTCGAGTAGTAAGTTCTTTCACTGTACAAACAGGGTATCTGTCACCGAAGATAATTAAAACTACGCGCGTCAGATGTTATGAAAAGTAACATAGTTATTTAATCATAATTATGTATAGACAAATATAATCTGATTCTAATTTGAAACTTCTTCATATATTATAATTAAATGTATATTTTAATTAAATAGAGTAGTTGTTCAATATCTGTTTTCTGACAGGGCTATTTAACAAATAAATTAATAATATATTAGTTTCAATATTATTTAGAAAATCACATAGGGTATCATATAATAAAAACATAAAGATATGAAAACTGACAAATTTATCAGTTAAATTTATATGTAAAAATGGTTTCAAGAATTAGGATGATATTTTCACAAAATATGTGTTTAAATGTGGTCAACATATAGGTCAAAGAAATCTTTAAAAAATCCATTAAAGAGGCATAAATTTGTACTTTTTTACTTTTAAATATGACATATATTCTTAATTGATGCAGCATTATTAAAACAATAGAAGAGGTGTTGTGTATAAGTTTTTTTTTAATTATTCTCTATTACACCAAATATAAAACAAAGTTGCTGACGCTTGTCGCAGTTTAAAACTATGCAACAGATTTTGAAGCCATTTCTTTTAATCAAAAGAGTGGACCAAGAGGAAGATTTATATGTATACTACATGTACACCCAGGTGAAGCCGGGCGAGTAGCTAGTAAAAAATAATTTAAATATGCATTAACTGATACAAAGTGCAGTTTTACTGTTAAGTATTTTCTTTAAAACTACTGTTGGGTGGATAGTCCAACTAATGAAAGGAAAAAGACATATAATACAAGTATATTTTTTATTTACAGGAATAACAGTTCATGATAGCATAATTGAAGGGCTATCATTTCAGGTAATGTTTACATCTAAATTTACTATTACTGTAATTAATAATAATAATAATAATAGTAAGAAAATTCTTTCTTCATCACATAACTCATCTATGTTTGGCTAAGGCCCGCAAGTTTGAATATATTACCCCCATAAAAAGGGAGATATAATATATATATATATATATAATAATAATAATAATAATAAACAGTAAAAACATTCCCAATTATTATTTCGTCCACAGGTGTCATTCCAGCAGCTTACCCTCTAGCCTCAAAATATTACAGCTTCACCTACTTACTTTCATACTTCTCCAAATAGCTGTAATTCTAAACACCTGTAGAATAGTCCGCAAATTTTTGTCATCATAATCATTTCTTTTATAATTGTAATTGTTATTCACCCGCAATGACAAGTTTAACACTCCATCAAAGGGAGATATAAAATATATATATTTTAAAAAACAATAATAATAATACAATAACAATAACACTTTCATACTTCTCCAAAAAGCGAAGAGTTTGTTTTTTTGTTCCTGAGATTAGTGCAATCTCAGGAACTACTGGTTTGAATCGAAAAATTCTTTGTTGGGTAGCCATTTCTCGAGGAAAGCTTTAAGCTATATAACATTACGCAACGACCAATAGGAGTGGAGCTGCAATGAAAAATATTGCAAAAACGTGGGGAAATTAAACACAGATGAAGTTGCGCGGTTCGGCTAGTGAAGATATGTAGTTAGCTGTGGTCTCTGTATAATATGTATTGTTTGTGTTTAAATATTGGTATTTACACAGGAATGGGGTAAAGATTCAGTGTCGGAGGGCGGACCGGGCGCGGGGGCGGCGGGCGCGGTGTCTGCGGAGGCGCTGCGGCTGTCGCCGGCGGCGCTGCGGTTCGGTCGGGCGCCGCTGGCGGCCGCGCACGCGCTCACCGTCACGCTCACCAACACCGCCAACACCACCATGCACCTCGCCTCCGTCGCCGGCACCACGCCTGACTTCCACGCGTCATTCTTCGAGTCCAAGGTAATTGTCAATAATAGTACTATCCATCAACGTTGAACAATTTCTGCTATTTATTGGACATGTACTGTGCTATATATATCTTTGTAATGGACTCGACCCATTGGCTCTACGGCGACGCATTGTACCTCTGTGTATGTTCTACAACATATATCACGAAATGTTCTGAAGAATTGTTCGGTTTGATACCAGCTGCTGAATCGCAAAAACTAAAATACCACTCTAATCATCGGAATGAATGGCCAATATGGCCATCCTCCACAAAGCGTTTTTCCAGAAACTTTGTACCAAGCACAAACACATTGTGGAAACACCTTCCAGCAATGATATTTTCGAATCGATATAATATCGAAATCTTTAAGAAAAGTTTTTTTTTCTAAAAAAACTGCCATTGGCAAGTCCTCTGATGTTGCGTATGCTCATGGGCGCCGTTAATAAGATACCATGGGATGAGCTGCAATCTCCAGACATAGAGACAAAAAAAAACAACGATATTATATATGATATTATCATTGTTTTTTTTTAGATTAGATTGTGGAATGAACTATACCTGTCGAGGTTTTCTCGAGAGACTACAGCATGGTGTTTTTCAAGAAGGGTATATTAAGGTTTCTTAAGGGTCGGCAACGCGTATGTGACACCCCTGGTGTTTCAGGCGTCCATAGGCTACGGTAACCGTTTACCATCAGATGGGCCGTACGCTTGTTTGCAACTTACGTGGTATAAAAAAAAAAGCTGCTTTCAGCCTGAAATATGTGAGGCTAGGGTATCGTAAACGACTATTTACAAAGTCTTCCTCGGTAAATTATTGCTACTCTTAACATACTTACTAGTATTTCATTTACACGCGTATATTCGAATCCTATGTACCTGGAGACACGCCTATTGTCTGTTTCATCGTCGCAGAGTTTATTTGTCATTTTTATTTATATATATAACTTCAATGCACAAAACACCAAGGTAAAAGTACGACGGACTTAACGCCTTACGGCATTTTCTACCAGTCAACCACAGTTGTGCAGAGAAACTGTAGGCGGTGCAAATGTAATGAATAAGAAAAATAATAACTATGTCATAAATAATATATATTTACTAAAAGTAATTATTAAAACTACAGGAATAGTTAGGAAGTGATATAAATAGTTGGGTGTCGGTGTAGGTTATCAGCGGGATGTCGTGGCGTGACACGATTGCTGTCATTGGCCTCGCGCTCGTAGACGGTGTGCTGGGGGCGTATTATGAACTCTTTAAAATCCAGTCAGTTTCCAGGCAGTTCAGTTTACGGCCTTAAACTGAATTGTTCTTTTTCGTATTATGAGGGTCCAAATTCAAACCGTATTCTGCCTGGATAGTTTGTCTCTGGCTGGTTAGTGGATTTTCTCGCGCTGCGTTCGGATACGCATACATTTGTTGCAACGTTAAGTTGAGTTTTTGTGTGTCACTTTTTGGACAAAATATTAATTAAATAAATGTAAATTAAATATAGAAAACAGTAATTAAGATACAACGGTAGAATTTGTGTAATATACAAAAATATTCCAGACAGTTTTATTGTCTTTTTTAATAATTCGGATTTATTTGTAAAAAATATTTTCATTGTAATATCCAAACGAACTTTGTGCATCTACTTAAAATTCCGCGCAAAGTACTTAATTCTGATTTTAATGTACAATTTGAAACTTAGCCTTTCCATGACTTTATATACGCCAGTTAAATTTAATAATTCAATTATTGTAAATATACCTAATGTAACGTAAGTATTCCTAACATTTTCTTAGTAATATTTTTTTAAAATGATGCAAATATTTAACTGTTTATATTTGTATATTTATCTAACTAAATTGTAGATCACGGACTGAAACCCCTCGCCAACGTCGTGTATCGTACCGGTAATTTAAAATTATATGGGATTTTTAAAATCCCATAGGGAAATGGCAAGTGGCTTTAATAAGTCCGCCCAAGAATACCATACCAATCGCTTGTGTGAGGACGTCGCTCAACAATTAAACTCCTTAGGAAAAGGGGGTTTTAAAGACTGGAAAGGATTGTCAAGTTTAAGTGTTATAAGGTAACCATCTGAATTTTAATTTATTTCATTTAATAGGAATCTCAGTAAAATCTGAAATACATGTATCTATGCAAATAAATTGAAGTATCTGTTTGTAATTTTGAAGTTCACCAGTTACAACAGCTTTTCAGTAAATGCATACATATATAAGGTAAGATAAATGACATTAAAAAATAAAAATATTTGTCTGTCCGTTTGTTTGTTCTTGCTAATCTTTGAAACAGCTGGACCAAATTTGGGGGATACTTTCACTGTCATATGTAATGAGTTGTGTAAAGGAGTAACAAGTTGCTTTTATTTGAGATATTTTATTTATTTTAACAAAAACTAGGTATGCCATATGGACAAAGTCATAGGTAATAACTAGTATATAATAAAATTATCATATCCCTTTAATTATAACTACCAATAAAAGACATAAATAATGTACCTATATCATTTATTATAAAAACAAATAATTAAAACATTGACCTATTAACAATATTATTATTTATAAATGTTTCAATTTCTTAGTTCCACAACTAAACAACATGGGTTTGTCTAGCAGCTAGACCTTCATTTAGTTCTCTATAAGAACTCAAAGTACATATAGGCATCTAAATCTAGAAGCCCAATTGTGCTCTCAATGATATTCCATGTTCTTACAGTGTAATATGCTTCTTGTGGTCCTGGTCCTGGTATAGCATTTGAGATGGGAGTATACTTCTCTAAAGCATATCCTGGATCTCCTAAAAAAAAAACAACATATTATATACTATAATATTAATATTTATTTACAAAAAGTATTATTTCATTAAAACACAGCACAATAACTGTTGGTGCTGATAAATAACTATGTTTCTAAATTACTGAAGTTTAGAGCTTAGATGTAATGATGTTTGTAGTTTCATAATAAAATTTTGTGCTTACCAAGTAATCATAAGGATTTATTCCAGCTTAAGTCCTCTAGATGTTGCTTAATGCCTCTGGTTTGCCCAAATGTCATGAGTAGCTCCAGTTCCAGTTGGTATCCACACTTATAATCTCCATGTCAGCATTACTAACCTAAAATTTTTTTCCAGATTAATTACATAGATGAAGATTATTTGAAACATAAGAGAATAATTAATAGATAAATATTATTTGAAACATATGAGATTAATTACATGGATACAGATTATTTGAAACATATGTCTAAGTGTTATGGTCATTTAATATTTAAGTAAACAATTTATTGTTAGTATATAAGTAGCTTTAGAGATGTATAATCATTAACATATTTTGCATGTCTAAAATCTTGTTTATTGTTAATTTATATAATTATATTAAAAAAAGATATTAAAAGTGTTTATATTATTAAACATGTCTTTTTATATTTCACTTACCAATTATATATTTAATGAATGGTATTGTTTTCTACAGTAATATCTCTTCTTAATTTACAATGGGGTGGCATGTGTACAGTCAAATACAGCCCAATACACCCAGCATTCCAAATTCCAATTATAAAACCTAAAATATAATTAATTTAATTTAATTAATTGTCCTCGGAGGAAAGTGCCGGAGAGACTGCACATCATCAGACTGTTGCATACTTGTATACTTGCTTTCTAGGCTTTACTTGTATGCATACATTTTACCATATATATTATCACTATATCATATGGTATGGTACATGGTACTCATAGATGTATTTGCAACAATAACAGTTGCTACTAGAAATAGATACCTTTGAATATTTATTATCTATCCTTTACTCAGATGTCCTTGGAATTTTATATATGTATTTACTTTTGGATGTTGGGTAAATGCAATAAATCGGTTATTTGCCATTGGCTGTGCTAAAGAATGAACAGCAATATCACTAATAGGCCGTTGATAAATATGCCTGTAGCATAAATAATAATCCTACTAAAACCTGATATAGTCAGCTAGTGATTTAGTGAAATAATTACAATACACTATACCTTAGTTTCCACTGGTAGGTCTGTAAATTTCGATGATACCGGCATATGAGTTCGCACGCATATTACGCACCAAATCTTTATTTAGATTATAACGTTTTCTAAATTGTTCATTTTTATTGGATTGGTCGCGTAATCGCCGTCTTTTCACTTTCCTTACTTCTTTTTCGTAGGGTGCACATTTCCAAAAACTCCAATACTTCGAGTTCATCACACATAATTAAAATTAAAACGAAACAAAAACAATCGAAATAACTGCACAAACATGTTTTAAACATAATAAAAACTGACATAGAAATAGAAATAATAACCAAATTACAATAATGAAGCTATAAATTAGAAAACAATTCTATAAAAGCTAATATGAAGCCACCGTAAACTGAATTGTTTTTAAACGGTCTTTTGACAGTTGCGTCCGCTTAGATCTGTCAAATGAAACGCTCATAATACGAAATAGCCGGTCAGTTTTCGGGCAGAAGACGTTCAGCTGTCACGTGACCGCTGACTGGCTGGCTAATAGCGTTCGTAATACGAAATCGCCAGGCAGTTCAGTTTAAGCCGTAAACTGAATGGGAATAAGAGTTCATAATACGCCCCCTGTGCTCCCAATTGCGGTTGGCATTCTGTTATCTATTATATGTTATATATTATTTTTACTACTACTATTATTATTACTATTATCTGTTATATATTATATAACATATAAGGCATTCTGTTATCACACGAAAAATGACCATTTAACATATAAACATAGTATGTTCTAAATACGCTTGTACATATTGATTGGGGGTAATGGATTGTTAGTAATAATAAGAATAATAATAATCTCAGGACAATTCACACAGAGCCATCTAGACCCAAGTTAAGCTAGCTAAAGCTTGTGTTATGGGAACTAGACAACTGATACAAATACATAGATATTTTTTTTTCGTAAATATATACATATTATACATAGAAAACACCCAGATACAACCAATTATACTCATGAATAC